ATATATATGGTCGAGTCTTACTACGGATCCCAGCCTGGCCTAGAACTTGCTATCCTCCCCAGTGATGGTGGAAATCTCACAAAAAGATACTACAAATTACTTTGAATCATTTGTTTTTCCTGCACACTCTCCCTATGTATATATACACATATATATTTGTTATATTGTATTATATTTATTATATATATGGTCGAGTCTTACTATGGATCCCAGGCTGGCCTAGGGCCTTCAATCTCCCCAGTGATGGTGGAAATCTCACAAAAGATACTACAAATTACTTTGAATCATTTGTTTTTCCTGCACTGATACCAGGGTTTCTTATTGTCCCTGTATTTGTCATGTAGGAGAGTATTACATTTGTGACAAAGTCCATAGTGGAGAGAAGTTTTGTCTTTGTTGTCAGGGATGGTGCGTTATGAACTAATATACCAGTCATATGGATTTTGTCAAGATCTAATATTAGATTTGTAAATGCCCTCCGCTCATCTGTGTCTCTCATATACTATGATGGCATCTGCTTCAGGTTACTTTGTTGACATAAGTATATTCATATTCTCAAACTTTTATGTCTGAAGTATAATGAACCAAGATATCAGAAAACCCACATAAAGACAAAAGAGTCATCGTAGTTCACATTTCGGTGAGTTTAAGGACTATGAAATTGCAGAGCTGTAAAAACTAGATAGAATGTTCACACAGAACTTATGTGCTCACCAGAAAAATAACTTACAAATGAAATCTTGGGCTAGAGAGCTGGCTCAGCAGTTAAGCACACTGGCTGCTCTTACAGAGGACCTGGGTTCAAGTCCCAGCACCCACATGGCGGCTAACAGTTCAAAACTCCAGTTCCAGGGGAATCTGACACGTTCTTCTGACCTCCTTGGGCACTGCACAACACGGGTGCACTTACATACATGCAGGCAGTACACTCATACACATAAAATATTAACAAAATTAGATCTTATCAGTTTCATATCTAAACAAGAGCAACAGTGTCTGAAAGTTGAGTCAAGAATAAATTTTGCTGCTATAATAAAACAAAGTATGAGTAACAGCAAGGGTATTGTTGGCAGGGAGAGTCTGAAGAAGGCAAATAGAAAAAAACATGACAGTTTTAAAAAAAGGAAATTGGGGACTGGAGAGATGGCTCAGCGGTTAAGAGCACTGACTGCTCTTGCAGAGGACCCGGGTTCGATTCCCAGCACTCACATGGCAGCTACAAACCGTCCTTAACTCCAGTTCCAGGGGAATCCGAAGCCCTCTTCTGACCTCCAAGGTATTGCACAACACTGGTGCGCTCACATACATGCAGGCAATATACTCATACACATAAAAATAGACTCTGTCATCCCACAGGAACATAGATTAGCATAGTGGTTTCTGAGTAGTGGTTCGCTCCTGGCACCATTCTCAATGTATCCTGAGAGGCGATGGGCATTGTCTGGAGACATTCTTACTGTTACGACTTGGGAGAAGAGGGAGATCTATTGCATCTAGAGTGTGGAGGCCAAGGATGCCACTGAACACCTTACAATTCTGTTTGCTAAATGTGTAATCCTGGACTAGCTACTTAACCTTTTGGACCTTCAGTTTTCTCATCTGTAAAGTGATGATAACATTTACTGAATGTTATATACCAGGTTCAACTCTAAGTGGTACTTCATTGTTCTTCCAGACATGTGTCCCTTGTGTGAGAGCTCCATTGTTATTTCATTAACAGATGAACTAAGATAATGAAAACACACAGCACATGCCTGGAACATAGTGTGAGTGCTCAGCCATTTACTAGGTTTTTAAAAAATGATGGACTGAGTTAAGCACATTTTCACTAATATCAACAGTTTATCACTAATGAGAGCCCTTGGTCACTGACTTCTTTAACTAATATTACTTTTTTCCATACTTACAAAAACAAAAAAAAACCCTGGAAAACTTCAACCATCTTTGGGATAAAAATATCAAGAATGTGAAATGCATTCTTTTTAGAATTTTTATTATTTTGTGGCCGATTGCACAGGCTTGTGTACCAAAGCATGTGTGTGGCGATCAGGGGGCAACTTTCAGGAATTCTCTTTCCACTTTGTCTGAGGCAGAGTCTCTTCTTGCTGTTTCTGCCTCATTGTACTCAGAGGTAGCTAGACTGAGAGCTTCCAGACAATTCTGCAGTGTCTTCCTCCCATCTCACCACAGGAGTGCTGGGATAACAATGCCTGCCACTGCATCTAGCTTTTTACTTGGGTTCTGGGGCTGGAACTCAGATCATCAGGCACTGTTGCTCTGTGAACCATCTTGCCAGTGCTCCCAAGAATGTGAACTATATTGTATGGGTTCACTTTATAATCAGAAACCTGTCTACTAGAGAGACACAAAACTCATTTCTTTGGAGGGTGAAATTAAATGACTGTGATGCTTTCTGAAGACAAGGACACCAAGATACTAGAACACAGAGACCTGATCTAATAGTAAAGTATGAATTATTTCCAGGAGGCAATATGTAGTGAGAGCTTCATGGGGCTTACCTTACTTTATAAGCCACTTACTGTTATTAGACAAACCAGGCCAAATAACTCCGTCTAGTCCAGGGTAAGCAACACTGTTGGTTTTTTGTTTTTGAGACAGAATCTTATCTCAGGCTGGCCTTCAACTCACTATGTAATTTAGGACGACTTTGAATTTCTGATCCTCTTACTTCTACTTCCCAACTGCTGAGATTGCAGGTTATGTGCCACACCTGGTTAATGTAGTGCTAGGCTCGAACCCAGGGCTTCACAGTTTAAACCCAAAGCTTTGTGTCTGTTAAGCAAGCACATTACCAACTGAGCCACATTCTCAAACTCTGGAGCTTAATATTCATTGGCTGACTGCTCTCATAAGATTTTAAAACATTAAAAAAAAATTTTTTTTGGTCTTTTTGAGACAGGGTCTCCCTGTAGCCCCAGCTGGCCTGGAATTCACTTATGAAGACCAGGCTGGCCTTGAACTCACAGAGATCTTGCCTGCTTCTGACTCCCAAGTGCTGGGATTAAAGCAATGCACCACCCTACCTGGCTGTTTTTATTTACTTATCATTTGTTTGTTTTGCTTGCATTTGTGTTTGTTTTGCTTGCATGTATATAAGTGCACCCATGTGTGCAGTGCCCCTGGAGGCCAGAAGTGGGGAGGTCAGAGCCCCTGGAACTGGAGTTAAAGATGGTTGTTAAAGTGGGTGCTGGGAACCAAACCCAGGTCCTCTGTAAGAACAGCCAGTGCTCTTAACTGCTGAGCCCTCTATCCAGTCCCTCTCATAAGATTTTGACTTGGCATCAACATTTTAGGTTTGGAGATGTTCAGTGGCATCCCTGCCTGGCCTCTATTCTCTATGTCAGTAGCTCTCCTTCCTCTCCCATCAGGACACTAAGAATGCCTCTGTTACAAAACTTGACTTCTGGAGTACAGACTACAGTAAAAAGTAGAAAAAGATTTATTCAATGTGGCCACTTTGGGAAGAGGGACAGTGATCCCAGTGATCCTTCTCAAGTCCATCTTCCCAATGTCGCCACTCTGAATAAACTTTGTTTTTTACTAATTAATATCGCTGTTTTAATCAGCTTTCAAGGATGGGTGGTCAAACTGGACTTCTTGGGGTACAGATTGCCAAGTTCAGTAACACCTCCAGACATCACCCAGTGTCTCCTCTTCTGTCCTCCATATCCTAACCATAAGGAAATCACTGGCTCCATCTTCACAAACCATTTCTCCCTAATCCACAGCACCTAACCTGCACCATCTCTTGCCTGGATTACTGCACTACCTTCCTTTCTGCCCCAGCTCTCTCTCAAATTATTCTCTGGACTGCATCACACGTCCTGTTTTGAGGGGTGCTGGGCACCGAACCCAGGGCCATAGTCATGATCAGTAAACCCAGGTTCCGGGCTACAGTCCCAGTGCCAGCACCCATCCCATCCTAACAAACACCTGTCACCTGACTCCAACTCCAGGGAGTGAACCCGTTCCCTCACACGTGTCTCTACGGCCCCAAGTGACCAAAACAGCCTCCCGGAAGCTCCTGTCCGGATTTTCCAATACTTTGGGAAACACAATAGGAAGCAAGGCCCGGGTTCAGGCTGGCGGCCGCCCTTCTGGTCTGACCCCAGACGCAGTGCTGGGAAGCGCGTGGCCAAGTGCGGTGTGAGGGGCGAGGAAGCAGTTGGGAGCCACCTCGGCGACCGGCGAGGACCGCGGCCTGGGCCGGGCCCGCACCCAAGGGGCGCGCTTTAATAGCGGCAAGGCCCCTGGCGTCCACCTAAGGAGGGGCTGCGGGCAGGTGGGGCCTGGCCGTGAGCATCCACCGTGTTCAGCCGTGGCGACCTTCGGCACCTCAGCAGGAACTGAGGGCTTTTCAATAGAGAAAGGGACAAGGGGCGTCATCACGGCTGCCGGAGACAGAACGACGAAGAGCAACCGATAGGAAAATGGCGCCCGGGCGCGCGGCCAGGCTCGGCGCACCCGAGACCAGGCTGGGGCGTGGGGCCAAGGCCACGCGAGAGAGCCTGAAGAGCGTCCGGGCTCTGCCACCTGAAGCCTCGAAACCCGACCACAGCAACATGGAGGCCCCGTATTGTCTTGCAAAAGGAGATCCCAAATTCCGTTTGGCGGTCAGAACGCGGGGAAAGGCCTCTATTCTCGACACAGAATGCGTTACGCAGACTGCGCATCCTCACTACAGAGGGCCGGGTAACGACGCAAACAATGTTACGTCCCTCCGGGGGCAACACCCCCCTCCTCGCGCCCCGCCCTACATTCTATTTCTGGTGGCGCGAGAACGCTACGCCCGTTGCGTACTGGGTCTTTCTCAGGCTGACCGCCGAGGGCGCCCAGCTACGTCAGTGACGTAAAAAGCTTCCAAGAATCTACGCAGCACCCCGTGGAGCCCTCGGGCTATTCCGAGACGCTGTTTACGTAGTGTCTCGGCCGTGCTTAGCGTTAAGTCGGAGCAGTCTCCGCGGCGGCCGCCATTTTGTGCAGTCGCTGGGAAGGAAAGGAGACGCCTAAACAGCGGCACCGCAGGTTTAATTGCGGCCGAAACCTCCCCGGCGTCCTTCTTCACCCCGATTCTCTGTGTTTTGCTCCCGTCTCCGACGAGAGAGGCGGCGACGGTGGCGTCTGCGACGGGAGACAGCGCGTCGGAGCGAGAGAGCGCCGCGCCTACCGCCGCCCCAACAGCGGAGGCGCCGCCGCCATCGGTCGTCACCAGACCGGAGCCGCAGGCCCTCCCGAGCCCGGCCATCCGTGCCCCGCTCCCAGATCTCTATCCATTCGGGACCATGCGCGGAGGCGGCTTTGGAGACCGGGACCGGGACCGGGACCGTGGAGGGTAAGGGGGAAGGTGAGGGCGCGGGGGGCGGGGTGGCCCGAGGAGCCCGCGGGCTTGCGGTGTACAATGGCGGCCGGGCGCGGGTCTCGGCGGGCGGCTGTCGTGGCGCCGCCTCGAGGGGGCCCGGAGGCCTGACTGGCTTCTGCAGCCCTGGCCGGCCCGAACTGGCTCGCCTTGCTTGGGCAGGTCGCTGGGTTCCTCGCTGGCCGCAGCGTCTGTCCCGGAAGAATCCGGGTGCTCTGGTTCAGCCTCGACATGGTTTCCGTTATGTCTCCCGCGCTCTGTTAAAGGGGCTGGAGTGTTACAGGGGCTTTTCTTATTGGAAACGCGACTTTAATCGGTTCCACTCATGTTTCGAATAATTGGAAGCATATTGGGATAATTGCTTTCTAAAGGAGTGAGATTGGGAGGGCTGGGTGGGCAGGTGACGTGTTAGGGTTTTTTATTTATATATATTTTTGCCTTTGAACAATCCAGTTGGTCTGGCTGCAGCATTCACTTCTGGGTCTAAGCTAGGAAGTTTTTGATGTCGAGATGTCGTGGTCGAAAGTTAGTGTGGGATTCAACCTGAAGCCCTCTCAGATAGGAAGAGTCAAATCTTTTAAAGTTGCCCAAACTACTGTTGACGAAATAACATATTGTGCTGTCACTGTTTTGGTTATAAAAGTATTTCTGGATAAGGGCAATGTGACGCCACTTCTTAATTACACGTATCTGTGCCCTTAGGTAAGTTCCTTTAACTTTTGTCAGTATTTGTTCTGAAAAAGAGGAAGGCCTTTAGGAGGATAATGTAGCCTGGGTATGGTGATCATGCCTTGTAACCCCAGCACTGGAGAAGTGGAGGCTGGAAGGTCATAGCCCCATCTCAGCTATATGAGACCCTGTGTGTGTGTGCACTTCACTTACCACTTAATATACAAAATAAGATTTTGACTTATTGAGAAGGAAAATTTTTGTCTTGGTGCAAATTCGGAGGGCTAGAAGTGGAATGTTTGCATAGTATTCACACTTAGCTGCTAAGTTTAGAAATAAATACAGCCACTTAGGAAATGACTGGTAAAGTTAAAAGCAACCCTACAGTATCTCCCTAAGGGATGTGCCCCTAGGATCAATATACAAAAAGGTTTATACCAACATTGTTCCTGACACCAAGATACTGGAAATGATTCAGATGTCTAGATAAACTCTGTGGATATTTTTATATTTGAATACAATACAGCACTGAAAAAAAAAGTCAAAGCCCTTGGGACACTGAGGCTGGAGACTGCAGTTCCAGGCTAGCTTGAGTTACTTAACAAGGTACTGTCTTCAAAACAGAAAGGGGGAGGGGCTGGAGAAAAGACTTAGTAGATAGGAGTGCATACTGCTGTTGTTTCAGAAAACCTTAGTTTGGTTCTCACTACCTACGTTGTTGTTCACAAACGCCTCTAACTTTGGATCCAACGTCCTCTTCTGTCCTCCATGGGCACTGCATTCATGTGCACACCCCCCCCCATATGTATGTGTGTGGTTGTGGTGGGAGTATGTTTTTTAAAGTCTTAGCAAAACAAACCATTCATTACAGATAAAACTAAAAATCAAGAGAACCCCCCAAAGGTTTCACATGCCTCTTTTGATCCCAGTCCTAACACTAGAGAGGCTGAGGCAGGAGCTTAAAAGTTCAAGGCCAGCCAGCCTAGGCTATATAGTTAGATCCTGTCTCAAAAACAAAGGCAGACCTCCAAGGGAATGGCTAACAAAATTCAAAGTAGTTGTGATGCTAAAGATTGTAAAAAGAAATAATTCCGTTTATAACAAGTCTTGGAAAGGAATCTTAATTTTAGAAGCTTTATTTCCTCCTAAATCATTATTTTAGGGTTCAAGGAACATTGGATTAGAGCAAGATCAATGGAAACAACACATAGGAACCACATAAGTTTATTTGAATTAGGCCAAAAATTGAGTTTTGATCATGTTTGCAAGACTGATAAAAACCTGACGTTTTTTGTGTATCAAGTACCTTCTTCAGAATTGCACCATTGACAAATGGGGTGGAGTGGCCAACCAGGTGGTCTTTTCTCTGTAGTACTGAGCTGAAAGTGTGAGATACCGATGAATGTGCTTGGCTATGTGCTTTTTGTTCTGTTTCTTGATTTCTCTTAGTGGAATAGCCACAGTATAAATGGAGTTACCCGAATTCTGCCTACTGAATGTAGCTATCCAATAAAATTTTCTACCATAAATCTTTGATGGGTTGGTTTGTTTGTCTGAGACAGGGTCTTGCCGTGTAGCTTAATCTGCCCTGGAACTCATGTAGCCCAGGCTGGCCTTTAATGTGCCATCTGCCTACCTGCTTCAACCTCTCAAGTTCTGCGATCACAAGTGTGGACTACCACACCAGGCTCTAAAAGTACACGTTTTTGATGTGATTTTTGTGCCCCTCTCCCTCTACTTGAAGCCAAAGAGTTTTGGTGCTTTGAATTACAGGAAATAACCTTCTAAAATAGCTACCCTGGGATTTCTATAATTCAGTACTATTACAAAGACTAAGGAAAATGAAATTTTAAAAAATATGTATATATCAAAGCACTGGTTTTGTTGTTGTTTTGTCTTTTTGAAGCAGGGTCTCCCTGTAGCCCCAGCGGTCCTGGAACTCACTATGTAGACCAGGCTGGCCTTGAACTCACAGAGATCCGCCTGCCTCTGCCTCCGGAGTAGTGCTGGGACTAAAGGTGTGCCCATCACGCCCAGCTAATTTTTTATTTTATGTGTATGAGTGTATTGCCTGCATGTATGTGAGTGCACCTGTGTTGTGCAATGCCATGGAGGAGGTCAGAAGGAAGAGGTCAGAAGACAGCTTCGGATTCCCCTGGAACTGGAGTTAAGGACGGTTTGTAGCTGCCATGTGGGTGCTGGAAATCGAACCCAGGTCCTCTGCAAGAGCAGTCAGTGCTCTTAACCACTGAGCCATCTCTCCAGCCCCAAAGCACTGTATTTTATAAAGAAGAATTAACTTTAAATCTGTTGAGTTTGAAGGCCTTTTTTGTTTTGTTTTGAGACAGTCTATAACTCAGTAGTATCATTTGAGTCTGGTGTGGTGGCTCACACTTATAATCTTAGCACTTAGGAGGCTGAGGCAGGATTGGCTAGGGTAGTCTGGCTCCCGAGTGAGACCTTGCCTCAAGAAAAGTAATCCTGGGGCTGAAGAAATGACTCAACAGTTAAGAGCACTCACTGCCTGTTCTATCAGAGGACCCAGTTTTGAATCCCAGTACCCATGTGGTAGCTAACAACTGTCTGTAACTCCAGTTGCAGAGGATCTGACACCCTCTTCTGATCTCCAAGGGTATTGTCTTTGAGACAGCCTCTCTAGTTCTAGCTGGCCTGGAACTCACTATGTAGACCAGGGTGGCCTTACACTCAGAGAGATCCGCCTACCTCTACTTCTGGAGTGCTAGGGTTAAAGGCATGTGCTCTCACACCCGGCTTACTCTGATTGTTTCATAAATAAAAACTTAAAAGTGAAGTCTAACCTACCAGTCTGATAGGTCCCAGTGGTTTACCTTTGCAGATTAGCAGAGGAGTGCTTAGAGCTTAAGTCAGGATGGGTTCCAAGTTTGAGAGAGTTGCTTGAAGTATTTTTCTGCCTGTCTACTATCTTTACTCTTAAAAATTCCTCTCCACAAGAATAGAGACCTGTTTTATTCAGTGAAGTATATCCAGTACCGCTTAAAACCACATCTGGTATGTAGTGTGTGTGCCCATTAATTTTGTTAAATGGATTAAAAAAAAAGAAAAGAAAAAAACACCAAAACACAAAACAGAATCCAAACCTTGCATGGTTCCAGAATCTGTGGTCTAATCCTCAGAATGTAGATGTCTCCACTTTTGATCTGTATACATTGGTGGGGGGGTGGCAGTTGGTAGTATGCACATGCCATCAGGATACATGCTAATGAATTACAATGTTTTGGTGTTTCTAGATTTGGAACAAGAGGTAGCGGTGGCCTTCCCCCCAAAAAATTTGGTAATCCTGGGGAGCGTTTACGTAAAAAGAAGTGGGATTTGAGTGAGCTCCCTAAGTTTGAGAAGAATTTTTATGTGGAACATCCAGAGGTGGCAAGACTGACTCCGGTAAGCGCGTGTTTTACTTTTTTAAAAAAATACAGATTAATGGGCCAAAGTACTTGTTTTTGTAGGCTGTTACTGCTGTTTTCTATATTAGGTGTTTTGTAGTTTTATGGAATAAAATGGTTGTGTTTATGTGTTTGTCTCAGGCTGGCCTCTAAACTTGGCATCCTGCTGCTTCTGCTCCCTGGCTGCTGGGATTTAGAGGCTGGGCTCCCACACCTGGCTTCTGTCAGACCCTGCATGGGCAAGGCCTCAGTCACCTACTTACATCTCCAGCTAATTTTCTTTTAGCAGTGCTGGAGCTCACACCCCACAGCTTCTGTGTGTAAAATTTAAAGTCTTACCACTGAAATACATCCTCATAAAAATAATTTTAAAAATAAAGCCAGGCGTGGTGATGAACACCTTTAATTCCAACAGAGGCAGGTGGAGCTCTTGTGAGATTGAGAACAACCTGGTCTACCTAATGAGTTCCAGGCCAGTCAAGGCTATAGGGCAATCCTATCTCAAATAATTAATAATAAACCAAAAAATTAAATGACACCCTGTACTGGTGTATTTTTGACCTCATGTTGTTTTGGATCCCACTTGGGAAATGATTACTTCAGAAAAATTGTATAATGGAAAGAACATTAAAATAACAAACTCTTATTTTCTCTTCCTAATTCTGATTTTAGACAGACATTTCTGTTTATAGACAAGGATATTATGCTTCCCTGGCTGGCTTGGAACTGTAGACCTAGGTTAGCTTCCAACTTTTAAGTGGTCCTCCTCCCTCTCCACTCTAGCCTCACGTTACTCTTTTTTTTCAGTTGTTTTCCTATGGAAAACAGAGCCCCTTAATTATGTGCATCCTAACATAAAAAGTTGAAGGAGCCTCCCAAACTTGAAGTCATATGTAAAAGCATTAGATGTTTTTATTGTGATAATTACTAAGCTGGTTCAGATAATAAAGCTATGTTGAGAATAGCTTCATTGTTTTTCCTTGTAGTATGAGGTTGATGAGCTACGACGAAAGAAAGAAATTACAGTGAGAGGGGGAGATGTTTGTCCTAAACCTGTCTTTGCCTTCCATCATGCTAACTTCCCACGTAAGTATTCTTTGATCCAGCGTCAAGCGGTAGGATATTTAAAAGTTTGGATGGGGCTGGAGAGATGGCTTTAGCGGGTGCATGTGCAGGCAATACACTCATACACATAAAAATAAATATTTTTTAAAAAGTTTGAAAGCCTTGGGATTGTGTTGTGCAGAGAGAAACATAAAGATACTCATTAGGGGCCAGCAAGATGGCTCAGTGGGTAAAAGTGCTTGTCATACAAGCTTGATAGTTCAATCCTTGGAACCCACATAAAAGTGGAAAGAGCACCATCTCCGTAAGGTTGTCCTCTGACCTCTGCATGCATGTCCTGACACATGTGCCTCTATCTCACACATCTAGCACACACATAATAATAAAAAGATAGTAATTTATATAGTTTTCAAAATTAAGAACTTGCTGAAGGCTACTGGTGTTAATATGTTTCAGTTTTTATTTTGTTCTTTAAAGATTTATTTTGGGGGCTGGAGAGATAGCTCAAGGGTTAAGAGCACTGACTGCTCTTGAGGAGGACCTGGATTCAACTCCCAGCACCCACATGGCAGCTAACACTGTCTGTAACTCCGGTTCCAGGGGATCTGATGCCCATGTCTGACCTCTGAGAACTGCATAACATCCAGGCACTTATACACATAAAATAAAAATAATAATAAAGGGCTGGATGTGGTGGCACACACCTTTAATCCCAGCACTTGGGAGGTGGAGGCAGGCAGATCTCTGTGAGTTCAAGGCCAGCCTGGTCTACATAGTGAGTTCCAGGCCAGCTGGGGCTACAGGGGGACCCTGTCTCAAAAAGACCAAAAAAATTAAATGTTTTCAAAAATAAATATATTTGTATGTGTGCACACCATGATATGTGGGGGTGTCTGAGGAGGCCAAAAGAGGGTGTCCAGTCTCCTAATGAAATTGCTTTCTGTAGGACATATTATGAACTTGGGCAATAGTAAATGACTGTCATGTGCCAATGCTGTTCGATGCAATGGGATAGAAAGGTAATGTTGACCTTGATAGAGATTTCATTTAAAAAACTTCTTGGAGAAATGTAAAGCTGAATATCTTCTCTTAGATGTCCTTAGTTTTATTTAAAAGTAATAACATACTTATTCTCTTACAGAATATGTAATGGATGTGTTGATGGATCAGCACTTTACAGAACCAACTCCTATTCAGTGCCAGGGATTTCCATTGGCTCTTAGTGGCCGGGATATGGTGGGCATTGCTCAGACTGGTTCTGGGAAGACATTGGCGGTAGGTACCAGATCTTTGACATTGTGGTAAATTATTTTGGCATCCTAGTTGTCACATACATTGTATTTGAATGTGGTAATGGTGACCTTTTTTTTTTTTTTTTTTTTTTTTTTAAACTTTCCTATTACTGGTTTGACTTGGAACTGTTAAGATAATAGTAGCGTGACATTGTTGATTACTTTTCCTCCTCAGTATTTGCTGCCTGCAATTGTTCATATAAACCACCAGCCATACTTGGAAAGAGGAGATGGCCCAATTGTAAGTGTGTTTCAATTTGTTGATAATTTTAAGAACTACTGTTGAGTTTTAGGCGCTGTGTGTTTAAAGGTCATTTTAGTTCTTAACTCCTTCTCCATATGTGGAAGTGGTACTGTCCCCGCCTTTTGTGGAATTAAATGACTTGCCCAAAGTCACAGAGGATGAAGTGACTGAGTGTGAATATGGGCCAACCTTCCTTCCTCTTTTGTTTATGTAAATCTGAGTATTTTACATATGCTCTTGCATGTGCTAGGCAAATACTCCACAACTGAGCTACCTCACCAAAAGACCAGTCTTTACAATAAATTCAAGTACAATTCTTTGTTTGGGGGTTGTTTTGTGTGGGAGGATATCTTTATTTTGAGGATTAAACCTGGGGCCTTGAGCTTGCTAGGCTCCACCACTGAGTTATGTTCCCAGCCCTCATATGAAATTCTTAATTGATTAGTAATATGAGGGATACCAAAGAGGTATTAGATGGGGTCCCTGTGGCCCTTAAAAATCAAGCTGGGAATATGTGTATCTTTGTGGGGCTTGTGAATGGGTTTTTTTTTTGTTTTGTTTTGTTTTTTGTTTTTTTTTGTCTTTTTGAGACAGGGTCTCCCTGTAGACCCAGATGTCCTGGAATTCACTATGTAGACCAGACTGGCCTTGAACTCACAGAGATCCACCTGCCTCTGCCTCCCAAGTGCTGGGATTAAAGGTGTATGCCACCATGCCCAGCTGTGAATGGTTTTATGGAACAGCAGAACTTTATGATCTGTCATTTTCACTTATGCTGCCTCCTGTAAGATTTGAGTAGTGAACTGGGAGCGATAGCACAGGCCTTTAATTCTAGCACTTGGGAGGCAGAGGCAGGTAGATCTACATAGTGCCAAGTTAGCTGAGCTATAGGGAGACCTGTCTCAAAAAGACCAGAAAATGAAAACAAGATATGAGTAACAGTACTCAAAGTGTACATACTTATAAGTATATTCATAACCTGTTGAGTTTTTTCTTTTGGTCTTTTTGAGACGGTCTCCCTGTAGCCTTGCTGGCCTAGAACTTGGAGAGCTCTGCCTGCCTCTGCCTCCCAAGTGCTGGGACTAAAAGCATGCATCATCACACCCATCATAACCCGTTTTTTTATTGTTTAATTTAATTTATTTATTTATTTTGATATTTTTGAGATAGGGTTTCCCTGTAGCCCCAGCTGGCCTAGAACTCACTGTGTAGACCAGGCTAGCTTCAAACTCACAGAGATCCACCTGCCTCTCCCCAGTGCTGGGATTAAAGGCATGCACCACCACGTCCAGCCTGTTTGATTTTTTAAATTTATTATGTGTGCACATGTTTTGCCTGCTGCTATGTATGTGTGTTACTGGGGACACAAGAAGGTGCCATAGCTGCCATGTGGGTGCTGGGTCCTCTCCAAGAGCAGTAAGTGCTCTTAACCTCTCGGCTATCCCTCCAGCCCCTATTGATTTTTGTTTTTTTTGAAACGGTCATTCTACCCAGCTGCCCTAGAACTCACTATGTAGACCAGCTGGCTCCAGTCTCACAAAGATCCTCCTGCCTCTGCCTCCTTATTGCTGGGATTAAAGACATATACCACCATATCCGACCTGTTTAATTTTTTAAAATTACATGTAGTTATCTTGGTGTGTTTTTTTCTTTTCTCTCTAATGAAGTTTTAATGAATTGAACCCAGTGTCCCATCTTTGTGCATACTAAGCACGCACTCCACCCTGAGCCACAACCTAAGCTATCTTCATTACTTTCCTATAGCTGTGATAAACATCATGACTAAGGCAACTTATGGAAGGAAGAGTTTATTTGGTTTATGGTTCCAGGGTAGGCATGGCAGAAGGCAGCTGGACCAGAAAGCTGAGTGCTGGCATCTTCAAACAGGCACAGAAAGTAGAGAGAGACAGACTGGGAGTGGGCAAGCTATATATATACTCTCAAAGCCTGTCCTTAGTGCTGTGCTTCCTCCAGCAAGGCCATTCCTCGTAAACCTCAGCAGACAGGGCCATTGGGACAAAGTATTCAAATATTTGGAGCCTATAGGGGACAGTTAATTAATTAAACCACCACACTGTCTCTCTTTATCTTTTATTTTACTAAGTAGCTCAGACTGCTCTTGAACTTGGGGTTCTCCTGCCTCTGCATTCTGAGCAGGTGGACCCAGCAAACAGGTACATCTTAACATTTCAAAATTATTTTGATTCTTAATGACTGAGTTAGTTCTATTACCATTGGCTGATATAATCGCTCTGTACATGGCAGGAACCATTATTAAGAATGTATATAACACGTTCAGAATACTGTCAGATTATATTTCACTGTTTAAGACAGGGTCTCAGATAGCCAAGGTTGGCCTCCAATTCACTGTGTGACCAAGGCTGGCCTTGAACTAGTCCTCCTGCCGCAACATCCTAAGTGCTAAGATTGATTCCTAAGTGCTGAGGCATGTGTCACCAAGCCCAACTTCATTTTTATTTCTTTTTGGTAGTTTTTATAATTTTGTTGAAGGGATATTGTAAAGGACTGTGTTCATTTTTTGAAATTAAAAGTAGGTGATAGGCCGGGCGTGGTGGCGCACGCCTTTAATCCCAGAACTCGGGAGGCAGAAGCAGGTGGATCTCTGTGAGTTCAAGGCCAGCCTGGTCTACATAGTGAGTTCCAGGACAGCTGGGGCTACAGGGAGACCCTGTCTCAAAAAGACAAAAAAAAAAAAGTAGGTGATAGAAAACCAGGTATGGTGACACATGCTTCTAATCCCAGTACTGGGGAGGTTGAGATAGGAAGATCAGACGTTGACGGTCAGTCTGGCAACCTGACTAGTAGGTTCAAGGCCAGCCTGGACTATGTAAGACCTTGTAGGTAATTTAAAAAGTAGGTAATACAATGTATAAATTGATCATAGTCCTATATATATACTACAAGAAATCATAAGGCCAGTGGGAAGTAGGTGGATCTCTGAGGTTGAGGCCAGCCTGGTCTAGTTCCTGTCCAGATGGGGCTACAAGGAAACCCTATTTCAAAAAACCAAAATGAACAAAAACAGTAGATTAAATAGTAAGGGAAGATGATTTGGGGGTGTGTGTGTGTGTTTTAGCTTGGAACAAATGTCCTAAGTTTATTTTTTATATTTTTGCTTGTTTCAGTGTCTAGTGCTGGCTCCTACCAGAGAGCTTGCTCAGCAGGTACAGCAGGTGGCTGATGATTATGGCAAATGTTCTAGATTGAAGAGTACATGCATTTATGGAGGTGCTCCTAAAGGTCCCCAGATTCGAGACTTGGAAAGAGGTAAAAGAAAAAAAAAATCATTGTACTTTGGCAATTTCTGTGAATGAAATTGAACAAAATAGCAAATTCTTGTGAGAAAAGTCAGTCTTTGAACAGTATAAAAGTTCTTGGTTCCAGGCGTGGTGGTGCACGCCTTTAATCCCAGCACTTGGTAGGCAAAGGCAGGTGGATCTTTCTGAGTTCAAGGCCAGCGTGGTCTACATAGTGAGCTCCAGGACAGCTGGGGCTACAGGGAGACCCTGTCTCAAAAAGACCAAAAAAAAAAAAAAAAAAATTCTTGTGATATGGTTCTATTAGCAGAGGAAATTCATAGCTAGTGAGAGATTTAACCTAGAATTTTATATTTGTAAAGTTCTTAACATTAAGCTTTTTGGGTACTGTAGATTTTACAGCTATTGTAGCATTGAGTGTAACCACCAGAGTTCATGTTTCCTAGTTTGTGTGCTGAGGTTTGGATAGTTTATTAAAAAAAAAAAAAGCTCTTTATGGCTAGATCTTTGGTTTTGCTTTACAGGTGTTGAGATTTGCATAGCTACTCCTGGGCGCCTAATAGATTTCTTGGAGTCAGGAAAGACAAATCTTCGCCGATGCACTTACCTTGTATTGGATGAGGCTGACAGAATGCTTGATATGGGCTTTGAGCCCCAGATTCGTAAAATTGTTGACCAAATCAGGGTGCGTAAAGTTGATACTTCACTATTTTTATACCTGTTTTACTATCATGCCATTTCTTAATCAAAGGAAAACCTTTCTTTCCTGATAGCCTGACCGGCAGACACTAATGTGGAGTGCAACCTGGCCAAAAGAAGTAAGACAACTTGCAGAGGATTTCCTTCGTGATTACACCCAGATCAATGTGGGCAATCTGGAGTTGAGTGCCAACCACAATATCCTTCAGATTGTGGATGTCTGCATGGAAAGTGAAAAGGACCACAAGTATGAAAGACTACATTGTCTCTTTTGATCATACTGATAGATAAGCTTTGTGTTTTGTTTGGGAGTTGGGATTTTTGTTTTGAGAAAGCCTGACTCTGGGTATTCCAAGCTGCTCTCAAATGCATGATCTTTCCTCTTCAGCTTCCCAAGTGCTAGGGTTATAGGTGTATATCATACCAGATAGGGTTGGAAAGCCAGAATTTTTTGGTGTTGAAAACATCCTTTATCTTATGTGTATGAATGTTTTGTCTGCTTGTAAATGCACCCATGTATGCAGTGCTCAGAGAGACCAGAAGAGGGCTTCAGACCCCTGCAACTTTAATAGGATCGTTGTTAGCTACAATGTGGGTGCTGGGAACCAAATCTGGGTCCTTTGCAAGTGTTCTTAACTGCTGAGCCATCTCTCCAGTCCCAAACTATATCGTTTTAGGCAAGCTTAAGTGTACCTCTCAGTGCTTAATCATTTCTTAATTTTTGAAATGAGGCTAATTTACATCAGACTTGTTTTGGGGCTAGTATAAATTCTGTCTTTAGGGTTTTGTGGTTTTGTTTTGTTTGTAGCAGGGTCTCATGTATCCCAGGCTCGTCTCAGACTGGCTAGGTATTAGAGAATGACCTTGAATTCCTGATCCACTTATCTCTACCTCCTATGTACCAGGATGGCAGGCATGCAAAACTACATGTGGCTTATGTGGTGCTACATATTAAATCCAGGGCATTGTGTGTGCTAGACTATAGCCACAGCCTGAATTAGTTTTTATTTGTTTGGTTTTGGTTTGGCTTTTTGGGACAGGATCTTACTATGTAGACCAGGCTGACCTCATACACAAATTGATTTCCGCGCTTCCTCAGTGCTGTGATTAAAGGTGTGCACCACCATGCCCAGCATGTTTGCCTTGTTGTCATTTGTTTTTGTTTTATGTGCATGTATGTGATTGTGTTTATATGCACATATGTGTGTGGGTGCCCAAGGAGGCCAGAAGAGGGCACCAGATCCCTGGATGCGGAGTTAACAGGCAGTTGTGAACTGCCCACTGTGGGTGCCAGGAAAGAAACTAGTCCTCTGCAAGAGCAGCAAGCACTAATTGCTGAGCCCTCTCTAGCTCCTGAATTAGTATTTCTGAGGAGTATAGACTCAGTGCTTTTTATGTATATTTATTACAGTGTTGAGGGTTTGTCCTTTTTTGTTTTATTTGATTATTTTTTGAAATCTTGCTATGAAGCTGAGGCTGACCTTGAACTCTCCATTCCGCCTTACCCTTTCAGGTGGGATTATAGGCATGCTGATCACCATGCAGTAGCCTTGGGAGTTAATATTGCAGCAGTCATCTATGTAATGTACAGGAAGATCTTTTCTTAGTGATGACTGCTTTGTTGGTCTTGTTTTTAGATTGATCCAACTGATGGAGGAAATCATGGCTGAAAAGGAAAATAAGACAATAATATTTGTAGAGACAAAGAGGCGCTGTGATGACCTCACTCGAAGGATGCGCAGAGATGGGTGAGTATGGTATCTAGGTGATCTTTATACTGAGAAGCCATTTCCAAAAAGGTGTTACAGACATTTTAATAATGCTTAATATGTAGTTTGTAATTATTTCCTTTTTAAATCTTAGTTTTCTTGTGTACAGATTTCTAATACATGATATTCTTTTGGTAGTTGGCCAGCTATGTGTATCCATGGAGACAAGAGTCAACCAGAAAGAGATTGGGTACTTAATGGTAAGAATAAAACTAAGGGGTCTTTGGATTTGTGTGTGTGTGTGTCTGTCTGTTTTTTCTTTTGAGACAAGATCTCACTGTATATCTCCGGAAACATCCTGTGTGAACCAAGTTGGCTTTGGAACTTGGAGAGATCTGCCTGGCAAAACAAAGCAATTTTTGTTGTATATACCACCCCCCAAAAAAAATAGTCTATATAGAACCGGATACTAAATAGTCTTTGCTTTGAAGACCAAATAGTGAATTGAGTGATTTCTATACACAAACAGCTAGCCACAGACAATATGTGAAGATGTGGCCTGGCTGCATCCCAGCAATGATTTTGTTGGTAAAAATAGGTGTTGTACTAGACTTGACTTGTAGTTCTTATGTGTACATGTATGTGTATATACCAAGGCACATGCGTGGCAGTCAGGACAATTTGAACGAGTTGGTTCTCTCCTCCTACCTTGTGAGTTCGGGGGATTGAATTCATGTGGCCAGGCTTGGCAGTAGATGCCTTTTCTCACTGAACCATCCTAAGTTTGAATGCTGAAATGCTTAAATGTACATTGTTCTTAATCATTGAATCATTTTAGTGTGTTAGCTTTTAGTCTACTTGTCTTTCATGACTGTTACAGGAGGGCCATTGAGTGAAATGAAAGAAGCCATCTTTAGGAAAAGAGCCTTGCATTGAGGGGGGTTATGAATTTTTTAGGAATGTCATTTGGCCTCAATTACATAACTTGGCAACTGTTTCCGTTGTTGTTTCAGAATTCCGATCTGGAAAGGCTCCTATCCTCATTGCCACTGACGTAGCCTCCCGTGGGCTAGGTTTGTATAGATTGCTGTCTGTGTCATCAGTTTGTATGTTTTGGTTCAATTTTTTTTTTTTTTTTTTTTTTCGGTCATATAAAATTTAGAGTCATATGTATATACATGATTTTAGTAAAAAGTGTAAGTGTGATTCCCAACCTCATTTTATTTTTAGCGTTCATGGGGGGTTTTTTTGTTGTTGATTTTGGTGGGAGGGGTTTGGGGTTTTTTTTTCTTTCCCCTTTTTATTTTCAAAGTCTCTTCCTGTTCCTAACAAACAGGCTTTGGTCTGCAGCAAGGCCTAGGCATGGCTGACTATTCAGTTAGAGGGAGAAGAGACATTCAGTTGAACAACTTAACTTCTTCCTGGTTTTGTTCTGTTTTCTGGCTGGATAGAAGGTATTTAATTGAATCTAGCTATCAAAAGCTAGTTTCTTCAGTTATTCTTTTCCTTATGCCAATATGTATTATAAAATACGTAGAAGCCCAGTTCCATGCACACATACTAAAAAGGGTTTATATAGTGTCACTCCATTAAATCTGCATTGTCCAGTGTTACTTAGGTAAAATAAAGGGCAGTTATTCCCCTCCTTATCCTTTATCTTGCCATAAATGTGTTGTCCGATTTAAGAACTTTAAAGATATTCTTCTGGAGTTTTCAACTCATTATTATGTAAGATACATACAGATCCCCTGTAGGACTTTGGCCTCTCATTCTGAACCAAACAGGTCTGACCCAAAACGTTTATATTTTAAAAGATTATTTTAGCTGGACATGGTGGCACATGCCTACATCCCAGCTCTTAGACGTCTGAGGCAGGAGAATTGTGTGTTTCAGGCCAGTCTGGGCTACATGGAGAGTTTAGGGCCAGCCTGGGTTAGGTAGCACGATCTTGTTTCTAAGAGTGACAAATAATTTTTGTATCACAAGGAAATCTTTATTGACAGGAATTTAATTTTTTGGCCAGTGAGGTGAGCGGTACCATATTTCCCTGTGCAATTTAACACACACAATAAGTATTGAAATTGGAATGCAGCAGTGGTGCAGCCTTTTTATGCATTGGATTGACGTTCCTCCTTCAGAGGTGGTGACCTGCAGCCATGACGGAAAGTTGTCTCTGCCCTCTGAGGTCATGTCTGGGTCTGTGCAGTAGAACTTGGGCCTGTTGGGAGAGGAGGTGGAGGCCTGAAAGCAGTTCACATAAAAGCTTTCAGTCATGATGGTTTTTGAAACAGGCTTGCTATGTGCTGGTAGCTTCTTTGTGCATCTTGCCTACACAATTAAAAATCTTTGTTCCATGTCCCCTTGCATTTTAAACCAAATCAATTGGCTACTATTAGAATAACTTAGACTCTTCATCCCTCCCTCATTCAAGTGAGGGGAGAGGGAAGGTACTTGAGTCTGTTTCTTGTTACTCAACATCAGAGATTGTTTTGGGCCCCTTTGTTTGCTGCCTTGTAAAAATCAAAAGGAGGGAGAAAACCCACCAAAATGGCAGAATCTGACCAAGGTCCTACAAGATCCTGGAAAGTGAAGGCTTCTACCTCATAGACAGGGGTGCGATTTTCAGCTGAGTCACCAGGCCTTTTTTCACTTCCTGTCGAATGATGGTCTCTTAAATGATCCCTTCAGGTAAGTTCTTTGATTCCCATAGTTTTATAATAGTCATCTTCAGGCAACCACTGTTCCCTTTTCACTGGGATATTTTTTTTTAATTTCGCTTTTTTTTGTGTGTTTAAATTACACATTGTTGAACTAAAAGTATTGAATTTATTTTGTTTTGTTTTTTAACAGAAGCTTTGATATCAGCTGCAGATCACTCAGTACATGGCTGAGGCAAATCTACATTGGCCCGAAGCCGCTCTAGATGAGCCTGCTGGCTAGCCTTAGACCCTCCCAATTAATGATTGGAATTTCAGGCCATGTCATAGGGCTTTCCAAACCAAAGGTTCTCATCCCAAGCAGCTGGCCAAAACATGTAACTTTCAGTTTCTTACTCTGCTACAGCATCTTCTATAAAGACAGCAAGATAATATTGTGGCAGTGCACAAATAACATCAGGGCAGGCTTGACTGGAGAAAACCAAATTCTGCGCTTGCTCTTAGGTGCCTTCAGCCAGCTGTGTGCACACACAGGACACCCTTCTAGTATGAAGAACTTGCACCATGCCCACCCCCTATCGAGCCCCTCCAGAAGTGCTCCCAAGTCTTAACATCTGAACTGTTGACTGCAGCCCCCAGTGCTTGCTGCTTGGGAAGCACACTTGGTGTGCATCCAGTGCAGTAATTCAGCGTGCTCTATTTCCCATGGTCTCATTCAGTGGGAGTGACTAAGGAGCATTATCCAAGCTCTGAAGATGTGGTCATGGAGTATAACCCCTCACCTCCCTACCCCAATCTTCCATCCATCTTTACTCTGTAACTTTTTTCTTTGTGGCATCAACAACCCCAGCCGGAGACTCACGCTGCCCCCTGTGATAAGTGCCTTCTCGTCTTTCTGGTGTGATTCAGGACTTTAGGGGTCAGTAAAGACCGAGGAGCCTTTATTGTAATAAGAAACAGACATAATGCCCCTTCTTCACAAACCCCTAACAGCTGAATTTTTTTTTTTTTTTTTAATCATCTACCCTTTTCCCCTGAAATTAATCCAGTCTGGGCAATAGATGCAGTCTGACCCTTTGGATGTAACTTACATTTTTTTCTACAATCACCCCAATTACCTTGGGGGAGGCGTTGGAGGACCTGAAATTTTTACCTGAACCCAGGTTCTCCGGCGCTTGGCAACCAAATGGGGCTACAGAGAAGCATCTAAGCCAGTTCACAGAGCGAGCGTGTGTGGGGACTTCTCACTGCCACGGACCCTTGATGCATGCTCCCCGCGCTCCAGTGGTCCCGTGTCAGAAGGCGGAGTTTTCGAAAGGAGGCCGCCAAATATAAAAGGCAAAGAGACGGGATCGGCTGCAGCGGTTTCCCAAAGGAGGAGGGAGTGTGCATCGGTCTGGTAACAAACAGAGAATGTTTTTTAATTATTTATATCACAAAAATCTGTGTTTTATCTAGGATATTTCTGAATATTCTTTGTAAAATGCAGATTTTTTTTCCACAAAAATTAGGAATCTGTTATAGTAAATTTGTTTGTCTAAGTAGGTTAAAAAAAACTACATTAGGCTGAAAGCATTACACTAACATTTACATACTTTTAAGCAGTAGGAGGTCACCCAGCCAAATTCCTAGCAATGTACAGAATTAAATGTGTGTCTCAAGGTTCATGGTTTGCCCCAAGTTCTTTGTCTACTTAATTTTCAGGTTACATAGACAATCTGATCATTGAAGCAAGTGCTAAGTCTGAAATAACCTTGAGTAGAAGAAAACTGATTTGAGAGAAGCTGGGCTTGGTAGTACAGTAAAATTTTAGTGTAATGTATTCTGTGGTCATTAAAAAGGGTAAAGATACCTGGGTGTTGAAGCAAATAGGTGTTTCCTTTGATCATTTTTTAAAATATAAGAGCAAGAAAGAACCTAAATGTTTTTTAAGTTTTTGAAGTGTGTAAGTATGTGAAGTTCCTTTTTTCATTTTGCTCTGTGACTGGTTTCAAGGTAAGTTTGTTGTGTTGGTAGATTTTTGCCAGGCTTCTCCCAACAGAGTAGAAGTGATTTGGCCCTGCAGTTCAGTGGTGGTTTCTGCTTCTACATTCCAGCTTTGCAAAAGGATGGCACTGGAATGTGTCAGTCTGAACACCAATCTTAGTGTGGCTCCTGTCAGTATATTGTTATAGAAGAGGCAGGAGTTGGGATGCTTGGATGGGATTCCCATAGCAAGTAAAGACGCGCTGTCCCGTGCATGTCCCGAAAGTCACTAATCCTCTTTTACTCTGTTGGGATGAGTCTTTTTTTTTTTTTTGGTTCCTGTTCAGAGTGGTTACTAACTTCATCTTCTCTCCTCTTGCTGTCATCTGCATTCGTGCTTCCCACCTGTTGGCATGTCCTTTACCTTCTCTTTCTCTGCCACATCAACCTACACACTGACTCATCATTGACTTGGAAGATGTGGAAGATGTCAAGTTTGTGATCAACTATGACTATCCAAACAGCTCAGAGGATTATGTTCACCGTATTGGCCGAACAGCCCGGAGCACCAACAAGGGCACTGCCTATACCTTCTTCACTCCAGGGAACCTAAAGCAGGCCAGAGAGCTAATCAAAGTGCTGGAAGAGGCCAATCAGGCCATCAATCCAAAATTAATGCAGCTGGTGGACCACAGAGGAGGCGGCGGAGGAGGGGGTAAGGGTAAGTCCTGGAATTTTCCAGGTACTACCAAGGTATCTTTCTTAATGCTCCTTGTGCCTTTTTTTTTAATTTGAAGGTTCTATGTTGCTTAGAAGCAGTAGAATGCCTAGTGGTTTTTGTAACCTGTAAGCTAGAAAGTAAGTTTGTCATTGTGCTACTATTGTAGCCCTGTATTTCCGTAGATTAAAACCTAAAACTCACATTTAAATTTGTTTTGTTTTGTTTTTGTTGTTCCACACAGGGTCTCTCTGTAACCCTAGCTTGCCTGGAACTCACTATGTAGACTAGACTGGTGTCGATGTCACAGAGATCTGCCTGCCTCTGCTTCCTGAGTGCTGATATTAAAGGCATGCGCCACCATACCTGGCTCATATTTAAGTTTTTAATTAAATGGTACATGTTCACAATTAAACCAGCTGGATGTGATAGTACATGCCTATAATCTTAACACCTGGAGAGCAAGGCCAAGAGCATCTTGTTTTTATTTTGACTTTTTTTGTCTTTGAGACAGGGTCTCTCTGTAGCCCCAGCTGTCCTGGAACTCACTATGTAGACCAGGCTGGCCTTGAAATCACAAAGATCCGCCTGCCTCTGCCTCCCAAGTGCTGGGGTTAAAGGCATGCGCCACCACGCCCAGCTATAATTTTTATTTATACGTATGTGGGTGTGTCTGCTTGTCTGTATGTGTACCACATGTGTGCAGGTGTCCGTGGAGGCCAGAAGAATGTGTCAGATCCCTTGGAACTGGAGTTATAGGTAGTTGTGAGCCATTCTGTGGGTACTGGGAACTGAAACCAGGTCCTCTGCAAGAACAGCAAATGCTCTTCTGAACCACCTCTCCAGCCAAGGACGTATCTCTTTTAAAGACAGCCTGAGCAACATAGCTAGATCCTGTCTCAAAATATATGTGTATATATAAAGCTAAGCTATAGTTGCTTCTTAATACCTTTAAAATGCTTATTAGGCTTTCAGTTTTACATGTGAAGAAATTGGTAATTTTATACCACTTCATGCTGTTTAGCAGCTGAGGCGTTACAGTTAGGTCTATGGTTTTGAAATAGACTATGCACTGAGCTTCTGGCTCCCTAGTTTGGTGTGTTGTGATTGTAAACTATTAACTTAGAGGCCGGCCTAGCTGAAGATGGAGATGTAGTGAGTATTTTTGTGTCCATTTGAGTTTTTAATGTTTATTTGTGCTTGGATCGCATACTTAGCATTAAAAGATACCTTGTATCCCCCATCAGGAGGTCGCTCTCGATACCGGACTACTTCTTCAGCCAACAACCCCAATTTGATGTATCAGGATGAGTGTGATCGGAGGCTTCGAGGAGTCAAGGATGGTGGCCGGAGAGACTCCACGAGTTATCGGGATCGCAGTGAAACCGATAGAGCCAGTTATGCTAATGGCAGTGGCTATGGAAGTCCTAATTCTGCCTTTGGAGCACAAACAGGCCAATATACCTATGCTCAAGGCACCTATGGGGCAGCTGCTTATGGCACCAGTGGCTACACAGCCCAGGAGTATGCTGCTGGCACTTACGGAGCTAGTAGCACCACCTCAACCGGGAGGAGTTCACAGAGCTCCAGCCAGCAATTTAGTGGGATAGGCCGGTCTGGGCAGCAGCCACAGCCACTGATGTCACAGCAGTTCGCACAGCCTCCAGGAGCTACCAATATGATAGGTTACATGGGGCAGACTGCCTACCAGTACCCTCCCCCTCCCCCTCCTCCTCCCCCTTCACGTAAATGAAACTGCTTGGTGGGAGTGCCTCCTGCAGACTTAATTACATCTAATGGAACACTGTCTTTTCTCTTTTCCTTCTTACCCTTTTCATTCTTTTTTTTTTTTAATTCACAACCATTGTGATTTGTCTTTTCATGCAGGTTAGTTAGAATTCACTGCCAGGTTTCTTCCTGCCCAAATGGTCCAGTCTGTAATAACATTTTGTAAGGAAAAAAAAAATATATATATATATATAACTGACTGGAAGAGATTAATTTCTTCCCCCAACTTATTGCATGTTGAGGATATTGAGCTATTTTTCATCTTAAAAGGTATTAGGCGCTTTTGCGGAGCCTGTTTATCATTGGAGGGGAGGGAGGGAGGGGAGGGCAGACTTACCTGCAGAAGAAGGAATCTGTGCTTTAACGTTGCTCTCTCCTTACTGGGGTAGAAAACCAAGTGGGGTTTCCCTGCACATTTCCCATAGTGGGTTTTAATGTTAGTGTGAAGTTGGATCAGGGTTCCTCAGGCCCAGTGAGTTTTTAAGACTGTTTTGTCATTGTCATTTTGGCTGATGGCTTAAGTGCATTTAACAGTTAAAAATTCCCAATTGGAATTTGTCCCGTTCACACTCTGCCTTCCCTTTCTCTTCCAGTTACTAAAAATTAACCAGGTTAGTGTTGAATTAGGAATTGAATTTCTCATTCTGAGTTCAAGTGTATCTTTTAAGTTAAAAACTACAAAGCATTTGTCTTGCTGGTTAGGCGGTAGCATCTGTCTGGAAGCTACCCATTTGTCTTTCCCCATATAACTGGGGGGACCATCTGAAATTCATTTTTCTAGCCAGATAGCCATGGTGCACAACAAACATCAGTGCTCACTGGATACTCCCTAAGCAGTTGGGTCTACAGTATACAAACCTCCTTTAATTATTAATGTACTCCAAATGGGCAGATTTTCCTTGTTAAACTCAGTATTTTCGAGCAACTAGTGGCCACCTGCTCTGCCTGGTTAGCCAGGTTCTTAAGACTTGTGAAGTTCTAGTCTCCAGTTTTCTGCAGGGCTTTGTAACAGCTGAATGCACTTTGCCCTCAGCATTCCTTGCACTCAGCTTTTCACAGGTAGGTAGTGCTTAGGAAGTACACTAGAGGGCCAAAGCTGTGGTCCTCCACGTAAAGGTGGGTGAGTTTGTCTCATCCCCTTTGTTAAAATGCTGTCTTACTGAGGCTTCAGTAGCAACAGATGCACCTGAAGAGTTTTCTGTTCTTCACTCTCAGCATAGGACAATTAGTTGACCCCAGGTGCCTCTTTAGGTCACTGTGGAGGAGACTTCCTTTTATGCTGTTATCTGTACTGTTCCTTCACAGCACAGTTAGAGGGAGAAGGTTCCACTGCATTCCTTGGCTATGCCCTGAGAGTGTGTGCTGGTTTGTAAGATCTATAAGTATCAAGGTATTTGTGGTTTATTTTGTTCTCCCTTTAAAATCCTTTAGGGAGAGAAAAGGGATGGTTTCTGAGGGGCTCTGAAAGTTTGATTCAATGTCACCATACAGGTAGGTTTTCGGCATAAGCCAAATTTGTGCATGTACAAACTTGGCATCCTGTTTTGTTTCTCACTTTTCCTTCTCTGTCATCTCACAGATGAGGACAAGGGAGAGTGATAGGCACAGAACAACTGTGGTAACACTGCTCTCTGTGCTTTCAAACCAAAGTGTTGTGTCCCTTCTGTCTGTCCCTCATCCCACCAAAAGAAAGTGTCCAAGCACTGACCTGTTACGGACATTTCTTTCTACAACCAAATTCAGGTTTATTTTTTCATTAAACAGATTCTACCACAGGGGGTGTCCTGTGCTACCACAGCTCTTAAAAGCATCCATTGCTGAGAAAGGTCCCTGGGGATCAAGCAGTAATTGAATTGCTTGCTTCCCCTTTTCACCAGAGGCATTATAAGCAAAATAACACCAGATTCCAGATTCCAAGAGCTCTTTTGGGCCAAGTACAGCAGAACTGTAGTAGAGTTTTTTTCCTATTGAACTCGAGTGGCTTGTCTGTCATTTGAATTCTGCTCTCAGAACAGGTGCAGGCAAATCCTTTGTCTCTGGTTATTGCATAGGGAAAAGGCTTTGATGTGAAGCTGTGGGCTGCTACTCCCCATCCCTCCCTAACAATGTATTGTGTGGACTTCTCATCAAAAAGGTTGGTGGCTTTTGCTTGGGATCAGTGCTCTACTCATATGCCCTTGCTGGTCTCTCAACACATTCCTGTCACGTTAAGACTTGAATTTTAGGTGTGATGTTAAGTAAGGCACAGGATGCTAAGAGCTATGTTACTATTCTTAGTTTGTAAATTGTCCTTTTGATACCATCTTGTTTTCTTTTGTAGGTACAAATAAAAACACTTGTTGACAATGAGGTGTGAACTTTTTATTACTTCTGAATACAGTGTAGTCTTAATTTTTTGCTTAAGACAAAAGTCGGGACGTTAGATGGACTAACCACCCTAGTTAGCACCTAAAACTGGGAAGAAGGTGGGATTGATGGGTCTTGAGTCACAGAACAAGGCAGGATACCTGGTGAGTAAATGGTTGGTGGTATCTAGCTCCTTAGTAAACAGTGATGGAGCTCATAGTGCCCACCTAGGCTGCTGTGGATGAGATGAGTATGGCCCACATGAACCATTGTGAAAAACTTGGCCAGTTTTAAAGGTGAGGCACCAAACTAAACTCTTGTAGAGCCGGTAACTTGGATCGCTTGTGCCTTGAAAACAGGATGGCAGTGGATTGTGCTGACTGCAGTTCTGTTGCCAACTTTCTGGGAAATAACTATAAGGATATGCTCCAGCCCATCCTGTTTCAGAACTCTGAACTCAGGGAATCTTTCCAAGGTGATCTGGCCATTCCTTGACATGAGCTTTACTGGGGGGAATGGGGTTGTAATGATGATTTGCTCCTGAGGAGTTTAGAGTTGCCGTGGTAAGGACACCATACTTGGGCACTTGGCCCAGGTGTTTCATTACGACCATGATGAGTATTTAAGGGAGGTCCCTCTGTTGAGGTCTAGATAGAATGTTCTGTCAGTGCTTTGCTCAGATTCACACTGAAGCATTTTTCTGGCTTTAACATTTGGTACCAAGTCTTGGCTGAGGGCCACGTCACCAAGGAGAACATTCCCGGATCATTTGGTTTGTGACCTTGTAATCATATGGCCTATCTCAGAGGGCCTTCAAATCGGCATTGGTAGACTTAACTTCTTTCCTTTAAGGACTGGAAGGAAAGGAAGATGAAATTAGAAATTGTACTAAACAGAGCATTGCTTTATAGCACAACGTGATTGTAGTGTCAGTTCCCAACTCACGGGAGGGTTAATTGAAGTCACCAGAAAGTCCATCTTGGGTTAACCATGGTGTCCATGTTGATTACTGGCTGTCCCCCCCTTACATAACTGTAAACTTAGCAGTTGGCTTCAGTTCCTCCATCCCTCAGCTCCACTCGCATACCCCTCTGTCCACATCTCTCCACTGACTTAGCAGCTGCCCTTGGTGATCAGTAGTGCAGACCCTTTATCTTGGCCCAAGGCCCAGTGTGAACTCTTGGTTGTCCTGAGGCTTGATGATGTTTCTGTATTTTTGTTCCTCTACCAGACCAAGCTGGTTTCTGCCTTGGAATTTGTAAATGAGCTAGGTTTCCCCAATCAAGTCTGTCAGATGTCTCCTAGTTCTCTTGCTTATACACACAAATTCACATACATCCCAGTATATCCTGGAGTGGGTGGTAACTTGGTCAATGCCTACCTTTGGTAACATACAAATAGAAGAAGTCACAATAAAAGATGGTTTGGACTACTCCAGACACCACTGCAATCTGGTCATAGAAATTCTCAGTCTGGTACCGCCTGATCCAGTTGGCCAGGTAGAGTGCCCGGTACAGTCCCAGGAAGAACAGGTAGTGAGTGGTGATGGTTTCGGCCTCTCCGGTCTTGCTGATCATGAAGAGCTGGGGCAGGATGGCCACTGACTCCAGGTAGATGGAGAAGGTCCAGAGGATCTGTGAGGGAGCAGCAAAGAAGGCTGGGTGGGTTCCATCACTTTAAAGGAACAAATGTATTGAATATGTTTGCTGGAGAACATGGTTATTAGACTGTTATACAGGTGCTTCCTACAGCTTTCACAATGCAGCCTGGGTTGGCTTTGAGATAACGGCCTCAAAGGCTGATAGGCCTGGGTCACAATACCAGACTTAAGTTTTGTTTTAAAATTTAATTTTTATTTTATGTATATAGTGTGTTGCCTATGTGTATGTGAGTGCACCTGTGTTGTGCAATGCTGCAGAGGTCAGAAGAGGGCTTCAGATCCCCCTGGAAGTAGAGTTAAGGACAGTTCGTAGCTGCCATGTGGGTGCTGGAAATCAAACCCGGGTCCTCTACAAAAACAATCAGTACTCAACCACTGAGCCATCTCCAGCCGGTTTTTTTTTTTTTTTTTAAACTTTATGTGTATGTGTGTATTGCCTGCATGTAGGTAAGCACACCCGTGTCTTGCAGTGCCCGTGGAGGTCAGAAGAGGCTGTCAGATCCCCTGGGACTGGAGTTACAGACACTTGTTAGCTGCCATGGGGTTGCTGGGATTCAAACCTGTGTCTTCTGCAAGAACTAGTGGTCTTACCTGCTGAGCCATCTCTCCAGCCCCTGGACTAAGAGTTTTAATCTGTTGCTTTTTAGTGTTAAGGATACAATCCAGGGCCATGTGCAAACAGCATTCCCAGACCTGAAGGGGTTTTTTTTGTTCGTTTGCTTGCTTGCTTGGTGTGTGTGTGTGTGTGTGTGTGTGTGTGTGTGTGTGTGTGTGATGTGTGTGTGTGTGTGTGTGTGTGTGTGTGTGTTGTGTGTGTGTGTGTGTGTTGTGTGTGTGTGTTTTGCAGGAACAGGGTGGCCTGCACAGAATTTCCTGCTTCTGCCCCCCACCACACACTCCTGTCATCAGCCCTGAAATTGTAATAGTTGTCACTGTACTTTGCCATCTTTGTGTAAATACAAATTCAGGTATGCAATACATACTGCTTGTTTTATAACAGTACAGACATTTCCGTGGAATAATTTTCACAGACTGCACAGTTAATAAAACGACATATTTGAAGCTAGAGTGTCTTGGTACAACCCATAAACACCAACATAAGGACTTCAGAGGTGCTTACCCACAGGCAAGGCCATCACCCAGGCCGCATGAGTTATAGTCAACCTGGACCACTCTTGGGGTTCTGTTAATTACATTGGACATAAGGCCTCAACAGAAGTGGGGTTGCCACCTGCTTGATTTTGAGCCTCATGAATTAACAGATGTGCCCTTTCAGGGGGAGCACTGTGAACAGTCTGAATAAAGGGCTTGTAGAACACAGGTCCAAGTGCCCCCACAGGCTGAAGAGAATAATGCTGGAGCGCACCCTAGCCTTGGGATTAGACCCATGAGCACCTCACCTCCAGAGGTGTGAAACTGTAGTTCTCCAGAAAGGAAAGGCCGATCACTGGGACCAAAAGAAATTCCAGGCGAAACGTGTCATTCTCGATGTCAAAGGTTTTCCGGAACTTCCCATAGATCATGTACACTGTGACATAGGCACAGAGGAGAAAAACCACCTAAAGAGAGATGTCAAGTGTCATTTCCTACCCTTGAGGTTAAGCCGTGATGCCTGTAACCCCGAGAGCCAGTGCCTTGTCATCCCTGAACACTGTAGGATGCTTCTGTAATCCATCGGCCTAGAATCCCTAAAATCCAAACTGGATAATCTGCCTCCCACTTTTTTTGAGATAGGTTCTTGCTGACCAATTGAGATCTGATCTTTAAAAACAAAAGGGTGCCTGGTTTTACCTTCCATCTGTGAGGCACTTGGCAAAACAGTCCTTTTCAAAGGATTTAACAATGGCATCCTAGGTCTCCCAACACCAAGCATGGTGGCCGCACTCAAGAGGACTGATGAGCTTGAATTGCTAGGCCTTCTCCAGCTCCTAGCCTCCTGGGTTGGAGGTTTTCATCAGAATCATGAATGGCTTGTTTTTTGGTGGTTTTTCTGCTTGTTTTTGTTTTGCTTTTTGAGATGGTGTCCCTGTAACCCCAGCTGACCTAGAACTCACTATGTAGACCAGGCCGGCCTTGGTCTTGAGATACCCCTCCCTCTGCCTCCACAATACTGGAATTAAAAGTTTTGTGCCACCATTCCCAGCTAGATTTTTTCTTTTGTAGATCTCCGCAGTCTTGAAATTCCATTTCTAACTTCTCAGGTAACGAGGATGCTGCTGACTGGCACTAGACTACAGTGGCCCTTCACTAGAATGAAGGGTACATATGGGCACCATCACTCCATGAGAAAATACTCCCTGCAGCCTGGGATTGAATGTCTTGTAAATATGTGCTAATCTGTCTCCCCTACAAGAGGGTTCATCGAAGGCAGGGACCACCTCTGAATCCAAATCTCCTAACTCGGCAGATTAATAAGGAAATGAATGGAGAAAGTGGTGATACCTTCCCATTTCATAACAGACTGAGTGGCCTCATCCTGCCATGCCAAGGATGGGTCTGTGGAGATACGAATCAGGCATGTGGTCCTCTGGTGAGTCTAAGCAGGTGGTGATTTCAAGAACCCTAGACTCAGGTAGTCCAATGCCTTACAAGTAACAGCACTGTTCGGTCTACCACTCCTGGTGACCAGATGCTTAGAATCCCAAGGGATATCTGAGACAGAGCATTCCCTTTGGTTAAATATCTTCAAAGTGCTATGTATTATCTCATGGAATCTTCAGAGTTACAAGATGGGATACCCCTACCCTACCATGAGCCCTTTCTCAGAACTGAGGCTTTCTATAATGTGCCCAACCAAAAACACTTCTCAGTCTCCTTTGCAAGTAAGAACAGACTGAAATGCAGATGGAAATCACTGGGTGGAGTTTGCAGAAAGGTTTATTTTGTTTTTAGATAAATGTTTAAAAATCTTTGTTGAGACAGTCTCCCTATAGCCTTGAATGGCCTTGAACTCAGAGATCCACCTGCCTTTGCCTCTGCCTCCCAAGTGTTGGGTTTTAAGACATGTGCCACCATAGCTGGATAAAAATGTGTACTTGCAGCTGGGCGTGGTGGCGTACACCTTTGATCCCAGCACTCTGGAGGCAGAGGCAGGAGGATCTCTGAGTGTCAGGCCAGCTGGGACTACAAGAAGACCCTATCTCAAAAAGACAAAAAAAAAAAGTGTATTTGTATGGGTGCACAAGTGCCATGGTATGCATGTGGGGATCAAAGGACAGCTTGTAGAAGTTGATTCCTTCCACACTGTGAGCTCTGGGGCTCAAATTCAGGTCATCAGGCTTGGTGGTGGCAGACACTTTACCTGATGAGCCATCTCACCAGCCCAAGGTCTTGATGCGTAGCCCAGATTGACCTAGAACTCACCATTCCCCTGTCTCAGCCTCTTGGGTATATTACCATTGCAGTTTGGATAAGCTATTTTAAAAGCACTTTCTCTATAATTTCAACATGTAGGGGACTGAGGCAAGAAGCATATGGGAGGTTAGGGCAGAACAATTTCAAGTTCAAGGCCAACCTGTGCTACAAAACAAAAACGGGCTGGAGAGATGGCTCAGCAGTTAAGAGCACTGGCTGCCTGGCTGCTCTTGCAGAGGACCTGGGTTTGGTTCCCAACACCCACATGATGGCTAGCAACCATCCATAACTCCAGTTCCAAGGGATCCAACACCCTCTTCTGGCCTCCACAGGCACTGCATGCATGTGGTGCACTTATATGCAGGCAAAACACTCATACACATAAACATTAATTTTTTTTAAAAAAGCCATAGTGGCAGCGTACTCCTGTTATTCCAGCACTAGGAAGGCAGAGGTAGGTGGATTCCTGTGTGTTCAAGACCAGCCTAGTCTACATGGCAAATTCCAGGTGAACCAGAGCTACATAGTGAGACCCTTCTCAAAAAACAGGCTAGAGAGAGGGATCGGCGGTTAAGAGCACTGACTTTTCCATCTGACTTCCACAGCACTGTACAACACGGGTACACTCACACACACACAGACAATACACTGTTACACATAAAAATAAGCCAGGCATGGTGGCACACACCTTTAATCCCAGTACTAGGGAGGCAGAGACAGGCAGGTCTCTGCAAGTTCAAGGCCAGCCTGGTCTACATAGCGAGTTCCAGGCCGGTTGGGACTAAAGGGAGACCCTGCCTCAAAAAGACCAAAAAAATTTTTTATTTAAAAAAAGCATGGGTTTTACCCAGCTGGCAGGTACAATACTGTACTCCTGATTCTTTGCTGCCTAGAATATGATGTGACAGGAGGAGCGACAGCAGCTACTTTGTCCAGATATTACATTCATGGCTGGCTATGTCATTTACCAGGCCCCTCAGAAATGGCAGCATGGGGTTCTGCTTGACAACTGCATATTACAGGTGTCCATGAGTCCTGGTCACACTAAAATGTCAGAGCAAAGAGTTAAAAGGCGCTTAGGACATCAATGGAGCTGTCAACCTGGATTTCATGTTACAGGAGTGTTCAGAGCCTACCTTGCTAGAGTCACTTACTTTAAAGTCTGTTGGCAGCATCTGAGCTGTTGTGCTCCAGTTTGCCAACTATCAAGTTGTTCCACTAATGAATACTGCCTCAAAGCCAGAAGGGTTGGTGAGAAGCAGAAAAGTTCACCCCAACAGAACCCAACAGTCTATGGCACAGACATGGGGCATCGGTCCATGCTTCCAAGTCATAGCTACCATGACAACCTTTGGTCCCTGCTACCGATCTGGCCCTCCTCACCCAGTCCCTGCTGGCCTCCCTACTACCCACAGAGATTCCACTGCACCACCTGTTGACAACAGCTCCTTCCTGTCTCTGGAGGAAAGATCAATTAAAGATTTCAATCTTTTGCTCAGCCCCATCCATAACCAATGTTCTTGCTTGCTTGTGACATCCCCCCATGAAGGTGTAGGATCTGTATCTCACATGTCCTCAAGTGCCTGGCACAGCAAAAGTAGAATACATTTGTGGCACAGAAGACCAAATCAGATCTCTGACCAGTCAAGGCACAGTATCTGATTTTATTGTTTAACCTATGGAATGACTTAGGGAATTTCAGTTCATGCAGGGTACCTAGTCTCACATTTTTTGAGACATTGCTTTATCATGTAGTCCTGGCTGGCCTGGAACCCAGTATGTGCACTACACAGGCCTTGAATTTGCAGCAATCCTTCTGCCTCTCTGCCTCCCCAGGGCTGAGGTTATAGGATTGCACCATGATATCTGCCCCACATTAACTTTTTTTTTTTTAATTAAAAAAAAATTTTTTTTTGGTCTTTTTGAGACAGGGTTTCCCTGTAGCCACAGCTGACCTGGAATCCTTATGGAGACCAGGCTGGCCCTGAACTCACAGAGATCCACCTGCCTCTGCCTCCCAAGTGCTGGGATTAAAGGCATTCGCCACAACACCCGGCTCCCACATTTACATTTATGATCTCGATAAATTTCAGTCACCCCTCAGAGCTAAGTACTACCTCTGCTCACCCCTGATAAATAGTACAGAGGTCCACATCCCAAAGATGCTGGGCAGCAGTGCAGGCAGCTGAATGAGCCAGTTGCAGCCCCAGCCTGAGCTCCCCAGTGCATCAGCACCCCCAAGTCCTCACCTTCATCACTGTGTTGTAGATGGAGATGAAATTGGAGAAGAGGTCCAGGTACCTGGTGGTGAAGACAAGAGCAAAAAGGATCTGGCTCTTTCCAGAGATGCCTGCACAGGGTGGACAGGAGACAGGAAGAACACAACATTCAGAGTGGCCGCCCACTTGAGCAGCACAGAGCCTGGTGTATACACAGGCTGCCCAGCTCCAAGTCACTGGAGTCCCTGCACTTCTCCTTGAGCCACTCTGCTATGGCTCCTGTCTCCAAATAAAGATTCGAACACTGAGTTCCCGTCACCCTGCGTGCGTCACCTTGCTGCTTCTCTGTGGAGGCTGCGGGGGTAGTGTGTCGCCTGGGTGGGGGTGTTCAGGCTGCTCCGTGTGCCACCCCCAGAGCTCCAGTGGCAACCCCAGAGCTCTGTCCTGGGAGAACAAGGGATTGACTGCATGTGCTGATTCACTAGGGAGACAAAAAGACGGAGGAAGGTCCAGGCCAGCAGCTCTCTGTTTTCCAAAATGCACAAATTAAAAAAGCCCTTTCCTACTTAAAAAGGTTACACCTATTTTTACTCCTTATAAAACAAAAATCAGGGGTGTATCTCAGTAATAGAGCATTTACCAACCATGTGTGAGGCCCTGAGTTCACCCCTAATGTTGCAATAAGAAAAAGTACCAGACGGTATATAAAAACGCAAACGAAAAAGCCTTAGTGTAGGGATCTCTGGTCACAGGTCATGGACTCATCAAACATGACATCTTTTTCTCCATGCTGTTTCTTTCTTTTGAGGTAGAGTCTCCCTATGTGGTCCTGGCTGGACTGGAACTTGCTATGTAGAATAAACTGGACTTGGGCCTGGTGTGACATGCCTTTAAACCCAGCACACGGGAGGCAGACTCAGGTGGATCTCTGTGTGTTTGGGGCCAGCCTGGTCCACATAGATTCAGGGTCAGATAGTGAGAACCTATCTCAAGAAAAAGAGGATGAGGAAGAGGATGGAGGAAGGGGTGAGGGGAAGACTAGCCTTAAGCTTTTGACAATCCTCAGGCCCTTCCTTCCTTCTTTTATTATTCATTTATCTAAGCTTTGGACTTGCTATGTATCCCAGGCTGGCCTTGAACTCCCAATTCTCAGCCTCTCAAAGGTTTTTTTTTTTTGGTCTTTTTGAAACAGGGTCTCCCTGCAGCCCCAGCTAGAACTCACTATGTAGACCAGGCTGGGTTTGAACTCACAGAGAGCCGCCTGCCTCTGCCTCCCAAGTGCTGGAATTAAAGTCAAATGTTGTTTTTAAAAAATTCTTTATAACATTTATCTATTTATTGTGGGTATAGGGGTGTGTGGATGTGGGTGTGCATATGCCACAGGTGAGGGCTGGCTCTCTCCTTCTACCATATGAGTTCAAAGGACTGAACTCAGGTTGTCAGGACTGGTAACTAGTGCCTTAACTCACTGAGTCATCTCTCAGCCAATCTTTGGGTTTTGTTTTGAGATGACATCTGATGTAGCTCAGGTTAGCCTCAAACTCTACATAAACAAGGCTGGCCTTGAACTCCTACCATCTCTTTTCCTGAGTGTTAGAATTGCAGGTATGTGCCACCACGGCTGGAGATGTTTTAATGAAAGAGTTTTAGAGCATACTAAGCTCTCTCATACTTTCGCTTCCACTAAAGTTGACATCAGATCTGGTAGCCATCGGGTTGATCAAGAAATCAAGAACAAGGGCTGAACCTTGGTGCAGTGATGTAGCACATAATCCCAGCATGCAGAAGCCAGAGGCAGAGGGCCTGAGAGTTCAAGGTCAGCCTGGGCTACACAAGGAGCCTATCCCAGGATATGGGGGCAGTGTAGCCTAGTGGCACAGGCTCTGGGTTCCATCCCCCACACCAGAAAACAAACAATAAAACAGCTCTACTCTTTTTTTAAAGGTTTATTTTTATTTTATGCATTTTAAGTATTTTACCTGTATATATATATATATATATATATATGTACCTGGTGTGTATGCAGAACCTGGGGAGGCCAGAAGAAGGTGACAGAGTTGCTGTATGGATGCTGGGAACCAAACCTGGGTCCTACGGAAGTGCTCTTACCTGCTGAGCCATCTCTCCAGTCCCCCTTCCCCCCAACCACTCTACTCCTGACCCCTTTCCATCTCATCAGTGTCTGCTGCACACTTCCCAGCTCAGGGCCCAAGCTGAGGCCCCACAATGTCCCTATGCAGAATGTCCCTATGTAGAATGCCCCTTGGGGTCATCTGACCACTGTTGGTGATCATGGAATTGGTTCCGAGGGCCAGGTACCTCCTTTCTCTCCTTCCCCATTAGACCAATCCCACATCAGCCTCTGTCACCTCATCTACCTGCTTCTCTATTTTTTTTTAGACTGAGTCTGAGCTTGGCCAGTTCCCAAGGGGACCACTGGTCAGGGCAGCTCCCTTCCCATTTGACTGATGGGAAAATGGAGGCCAAGGGTCATGCAACACAGTGAAACAGCAGCCAGGGTCTCTGGCATTTGGGGCTGGCTTACTCAAAGGCTTACCAGGCCCTGTGCCTTGGACCCTGAGGATCATCGATGATTCTTCCTGGCACCAACCCCATTTTTGAGACAGGGTCTCACTATATAGCCCTGGCTAGCCCAGAACTTACTATGTAGCCCAGAATGGCCTCAAACTCATAGAGATCTGCCTGCTTCTGCTTCCCATGTCCTGGGATTAAAGGCCTGCACCACCATACCCAGCACTGACTGTCCCTTCTGCTGGTCTCTGGGTAGGCCAGCTGTCCTAGGTAGGGTGATGGGGCTTCATCCCAGGGCTTAGCACAGTGCCCAGGAGGGAGTTAGGGAATGCAACAGCACTCCCTCCTCTCCCTGCCTGGCCTTCCATGAAGTATGTGCACAGGTCCAGTGACATCCCTCATGGGCCTGCAGCCTCCAGGGCCCCTGGGAATCCTTGGCGTACTTCCCATGAGTTGGACCCTGAAGGGCTGGGTGACAATCTCTCCAGAGACATTAAATTCAAAGAATTTCTACTCAGTCCAGAGCCACTGGCTCCAAAGTGGCTTTCCATCTGCACCCAGCCCTGTCCCTCTCCTATCCAGCCTCCCAGGTGACAGCTTGCACTGTCAACCTCTCTCTCCAGATTTCAGAAACTCTTGCTTTGGGTCCCCTCCTGAACCCACTGGTCTGCTCCCAAGTCCTGACTCCCTAGCAGGACAGAAAAGGCCCTTTCACATTTGAACCACCCTCCTTTCTGGACTCTTCTTCCCCCCGGTGTCCTGCCCAGGACATGCCCCATGTCCTATGACCTCTATGCTTTTGCACCATGGGGCTCTGTTCCTGGGCAGACACCCTGCCCAACCTCCAACAGGCAGAACTACTCCCTCCATGCAGCCTTCAGCTGCTCTCTGCTTCCCCAGCTCCAGTGGCGCCTGCCCTTACCCAGTGCCTTGCTTCTGGGTGTCTAGCACAGGAGGGGACACCAGGGACAAAGACAGCTGAGAAAGAGTTGGGCAGCAACTCACTACACTGGGTCTGCAGTCACCAGTCTAGCCTGGAAACTTCTCTTAAGCCACCTCGCATCCCTGCAGGGCAGCCAAACCACTGGGTAAACAGGGGAGCTTTCCAATAACTCCCTACTTCCCCTCAGAACCAGCTCCACACCACCTAGCCAGGCTGGTGCCCCTCCTGCCACATCATAGTCATGGTGAGGTGTCACCAACAGGCAGAAGAAAGAAGGGTCTGGCTGGAGGAAGGAGAAAGGGGAGGGGAAGATCCTGACACTAGAGCGGTGGCCCAGTAGAAACCTCTCCTCCTCCTGGTCCAACAGTGCCTGTGCCAGTAGGGGTAGGGGACGGGGTGAATGGGGGTGAGTGGGGGCCTCTCTGGGGACGCAGGGGCTAGCTTCCCACATGATGTCCAGGATCCTTCTATGATATTGAAACTTTCCTGAAGTTTTTGGAGGAGCGGTTCTTTTTGCGTTCCTAGGACCACCCCCACCCCCGCCCCAGCAGAAGTTCCCACCCTAAGCCACAGTAGAGCGAAGTGCTCGGCCTGGGGCTGGCCGGCTAGGGTCTCCCTCCCCTCCGAGGGCCCCTCACCCGCGCAGCTCTTGGACCTCCAAATCTTCCCCAGCAGCAAGATCATGGCCAGGAGGTGGCTCAGGTCTCCAAGGATTCGGAACACGTTCATGATCCAGCCCGCCGCTCCCGCGCCGCGTCCTGCAAACTTCCTGGGAACTTTCTAGCGCGTGGGGCGCTGCCACGTCCCCCGCCCGACTCGCGGCGCTCCAAGCCCCTGCCGCGCCTCCCAGCTTGCGCGACCCCGCCCGGCGCGCCTCCGCCACGCACTCTTGGACAGGCGGTGACGTGGCCAGGCCTCCGGACGCGGGTGGGGAGCCAGGAAGCGCCGCCGCCCCAGAGCCCGCCTCCCACATCCCGGCCTTGCACTGGGGCGGGACAGCCTGGGTAGTCCTGGTTTCTGGCCTTGCTCACAGCGGCTCAGAGACGCTGGTCCTGCAGTACGCATCCCAAGATCCCCACTTCTCCAGAAACCAGTAGTCGGCAAGGACTGTGGGCAGGAGCCCCAGCTCTCCGTGCTCGTGGTCTGATGGCACTGACACCAGGGTGAAACCTGAGTCCTGACTGCGGGGGCTCTGCTGTGGATGGAAGCAGGCTGAAAGTGAAGGCCCACTGTCCTATCCCTCTCCTCCTCCCCCTTCTCCTCCCCTTTCCCCTCCCCCTCCTCCTCTCCCTACTCCAAGTAAGGACTGAACTTGGGTGAGGGGAGCTGAAACAGGTCCCCACCTTCTCACCTGTTCATCTGGATAGCTTTGACCTAACCTTGTTGGTGGACAGCGACGACTCTCAGCTGTGGAAGACAGGCTGACCCCTGGCTCCCCTCTCTGGGCCTCAATGTTGACCTCTGTATAGTGGAGCTGTAGGGAATATCAAAGAGGCCAAGTGTGTCCAGAAAATCCCGGATCTTTTTTCCACTCTCTCTTCTTCATGTACTAAGATGCTGGAAAGAATTTCATTGACCAGGAAAGCCTTCAAAGGGCTGAGTAGTGGGCAGGGTGGAGGGTGAAGAACCTTTGGTGGGTGGCAGTCCTTCCAGGGCTGAGTGCCCTTGAGCAGGGCAGCCACCCTCTCTGGGAACAGGTCTCTGAATCTATAAAAGGGCCTTACTGGCCTCTCTTTGATCCCAGCATCCTTTCCCCATGAAGACCCTCATCTCCTCCCATCCTCATTGCCTGCCACAGACAGCCAGAGAGGCTTTGTCAGGATGAAGACCTATCACTTCCCTGTTCACAAACCCTTACCTGGTCCTGGAATCCCTTCACCATGACTCCCAACACAAAGCAATCCTGGGAGGTCTGGCATGTGACCCTAGAACCAGCAGCAAGGCCAAGGCCCATGGGAGTGCAGAATCTAGGCCCCAGGTCAGGCCTGCTGTGAATCTGTAGTTAAGAAGACCCTCAAGTTGTAGGGCTGGGAATGTGGCTCAGCTGGTAGAGTACTTGCCCAAGTGTCATACACAAAGGCCTGGATTCGAGCCCCAGCACCACATTAAAAAAAAATAGGGTATAGGGGCCAGCAAGATGACTCAGCCAATAAAGGTGCTTGTTGCCAAGCCTTATCATCTGAATTTGATCCCCAGAACCCACATGGTGGAAGGAGAGAACTGACTCCCGAAAGTTGTCCTCTGATGACCACACAGGTGCACACCCCCATACACAATAAATAGTGTAATTTTTAAAAAACCAGATGTGGTGGTATATACCTATAATTCCAGCATTTGAGAGAGGGAGACAGAAAGATCAGAAATTCAAGGCACAGGCCAGCCTGGACTACATCACACACACACACACACACACACACACACACACACACACAGCGGCTGAGAAAAGACCCCAGAGGAGACATGTGCACAACAAAAGCTTAAGGGCATGATCAGGACAACGTGCAGGACCAGGCACCCAGGTGGGTACTATTGTTCTCATGAAGTCCTCTCAGAGAGGTGAAACCATTTCTAATGATCACACAGATACCATGTCAGCTCAAAGCCTGAGGCCAGCCCCAGTCTGACTCCAGGATGCCTGCAGTTGCACCCTTTTCCTGCCCTATGGGTAGCCATGACAGGTGGGAACACCCAGCTAGAACAGGTGTGTGTGGAGGCAGGGCCCATGTCAGTGAGGATTTCCACCTGGCACAGAGCTTTCCTGTAATGAGAACACTATGAGGACTGCACACCTTGGTAAGGTGGCATACCTTGGCTGTGTTGGACAGCTCCTCCCTGCTCAACCTTAGAACTCCCAGGAGTAGACAATGGAGCCTGAAGTCTGAGAGGTGAGGTGCTTGGACCATGACCTTCTGGAAAGATAAGTAGCCCTCAGGCCTCTGTTCCTGCTTCCCTCAACCCTGCTCAGATGCCTCCCCTCAAGTCGCTGCCCAGAGAAGGCGGCAGCTATTTAAAACCCTCAGGTGAGGCTGCCCAACCAGCTGGCATCTACTGCTCAGCACCCACCTCCTCCCTAAGCCCAAGAGAAGCACTTGCATCTATCATTTGGCAGCACATCTGTCTTCCTGGGAAGCAGCCCAGCTGTCAGTGGGGGCTGGGATGGGGCTGATTCCTCTCCTTTCCTTTCATTTCTCCCAGGAGACCCTGGCAGGGCTGACTGGCCAAGGCTAGATACCTGAGGAGTGACCATCATGGTGGTAGAAAATATTCAGGCTGGGTGGCTACAGGACCTGGACACTATCCTGGGCCTGCCACTGTGGCCTTGATCCTACCATGATGCCCCTTCTCCAAGCCTCAACTCTCCCATCTGTTAAATGGGAAAAAATGAAGATTTGGTGACTCTGTATTTTCTGATTCTGGTGTCCAGTCTTACTAAGTCTCCTATGAGATGGATGCTGTGTTCTCATTCTACAGATGGGAAAGAGGGGGCTTGAAGTTGTTTCTTATGCCTACAGGCCACATCAACTCCCTCTTCTCATTGCTTTATCTTGCTGTGTTTAGTAATCAGCACATCCTCTTCATACCCATCCCATATCCAAGGTGAAGCAGCTTTCAAAGCACCATGGAAAGTGGGTGTGGTGGCTCACACCTGTAATCCCATCAGGGAGACAGAACCAGGGGGATTGGCTTAAGTTGTGAGACCCTGTCTCTCTCTGTCTCTGTGCTTCTGTCTCTGTCTCTCTCTTTCTCTCTCTCTGATCAGAGAGAGAGAGAGAGAGAGAGAGAGAGAGAGTATAAATCCCTTACTTGGTTAAAGCACTTCGCTCCAGAGCAAGCCCTGCCTCTGGTCACTCATTCTATCATCATACCTAACTGTTCCTGATGTTGGTGGATCAGGGCAAGTCTCTCACCTCTCCAAGTCTCAATATCCTGACACCCAAAAATGTGCCTCCCTCAGCACCCCAGAAGGACATTTTCCTCAGCTCAAAGAGCAAGGAACGGTCCTTGTCATCAACAAAGCAGCTTGTATGTTTGCGGTCAAAGTGGCTAGAGAATGAGGGAGTTGTTCAACTATAGCAAAAAAATGCATAAACATAATCGTTTTTTTTCCTTACTGGTCCTGGACCTTTGTTACGTTGCACCATTGTGTTGAATATCCTGTAGACTGCTTCAAATTCTGTGTGGCAGGAAATGGGCTGGCTCTCCAGCAAGGTCCCAGAAGGAAAGAAGACTCTATAGCCAGGGATTCCTAGACTCCCTAAGGGTCCCAGGTCTGCCCCAGACAGCCTGGCAGAGGTGAGCTTCCAGCTGCCTTTCTTTGCCTGCAGCTCCACCCCAGGGAGATCTTTCCTGGTTTAGTGTCTCCAGAGATGCTCAGCAGGTCCAGGGCTGGTGGCATTTTACTACAGATCAGCCAGCCAAGGTTGTGAAACCTTCCTTCCACTTTCAGAGCCAAGGACATTTATTGAAGACCAGCTGTGTGCCAGGTACTCTGAGGGCTGAAAATCATCATAGCCTCCAGGAGTTCTTTGGCATGGGGTTGGGGAAGGGAGGACACAGAAATCACAAGACACAGTGGAGGGTGTAGGAACCCTGGCTTGAGGGAGTTGCAGTCAGAATTGTAGTTGAGGAAGGTGTCAGGGCAAGTTTTGAAGGGTGAGTAGGAGCTTTCCAACACCAATGACAAAACCTGGAGAAAAACAGTTCCAAGGAGAAATAAGGAAATTCATAAGGACAGGGAGATAGGGTATGCAGGCTCCCAGTGACCCTGTCTATGCTGCTCTGGAGGCTCTTTAAGGAGGCGGTGGGGGGTGGGGCGGGATGGATATGAAAACCATGAACTTCGGGTTTGGCAGAGGAGTTGGAGTCCCAGGCTCCACCAGCCTCAGAGCTGCCCGAGTTTAGACTATTGAATTTCTCTGAGCATGGTTTTCATGTCGGTAACTTGGTTGTAAACCAAGCCCTGACCTCATAGGGTGGACATCAGGGTCAAAGTTAACCAAGTGCTTGAAGCGCTTTGCAAGGAATAGATGAGGAACATGTCAGTTCCTCGCTCCCCTTTGCAGGAAACCGAGGTCCAAAGAGGGCCCGAAATGCAGACCCAAGAAAAGCACGGAACCCACCCGGCCTCAGAGGGCGAATTCCCCTCAGCAGCTTCCTCCTGGACGGGTAAGATTTCTGGGGCGCTGGAAGTGTTATCTTGACCGTGCGAGGCGGTGGCACGGGTTTGGTCGCGTATCCATCCAGCTTCTGAGATGTGTGCGCCACAGTCTGTGACACCTGGGCCGCGACGCCCCCGCCCTCGCCGCTGGTGACAGGTGTCTTTTTCCGAGACCCAAAACGCTGCTGTCTGCGCGACTGCTCAGGCCATGCGCCCCGGCGCCTCGAGTCGTGCACTGCGCCCCTTGGCCCGGGCAAGGTTCCCACGGCAACCGCAAGCCGCTCTCCGAGTCTCCAGAGTGACGAGGAGCGAGCAAACACCCGGAGCCTAGAGTCAGGAACCGGAGCCACAGAGCGAGGCTGGATCGCGGCTGGCCAAGTGAAGAGGGGAGCCACTCCGCCGTCCTTCGTCCTTGCACAGGCTTCCCCGAGGGCATCTTTGCAAACGCCACTCCCCATTCTGAGTGTGGCCACCTGCTGCGGCCTGATACATCCTTGGGAATTCCTACTTCGCTTTCCAGGTGGGGTGACAGAGGGCTTGGCTGCGCCCCAGTATCATGATACTGGGTGAAGTTGGGCAAAGCCAGGCCCTGCCCCTCGGTAGTCTGCATCCCTCCAGAGAACTTTGCAAAGTGGAGACACGCAGTTCTGGGCGCTGGCACCTCCTTGGGTTTTATGTCCAGCTCTGCTAGTATTTCGCTGTGTGGTCTGGAAGTCCCCACTCCTTCAGGGTCTCAGATATATGGGACACCAGTACCAATGTCTCAGAGTAGCTGTCACCAAGTGCAGGAAATAGTCACTGAGTTTAAAAGCAGCTGGTGAACTTCAAAGTGCCTTGCATATGCCAATGGCCATCGCAGCCACTACTGTTCTTGTCCTGTCTGTCACCCCAGCTGGAAGGGCAGCCTCAGGGACAGCCAGCTGCACTGTGAAGCTGGGTCTCAGAACCGTCCATGCCTGAGGTGTCAAGCCTGCAGGTGAGTCCACCCCACTTTCCTCTCTCCATGGATGGAGCCCAGAGCAACCCACCTGGGACCTAGGATGCTATGATCCCCAGACTTAAGAGTGGTTCAGAGAGGCATGGCCTTCCACCCACCCACCTTTACCCCTACTGTGGCTGAACTGTAGAAGTTCCTCTCTCAGTGAGGCTGTCTGGAAGCACAGGACCTGCCCTCTGGGCAAAGCCCATTGGGTAACTGAATGCCCTTTGAATGCCACATGCTGGGCATGTGTTTGGATGGTTGTATCTGTAAGCATGTGTGTCCATGTGTGGTAAGGGATGTGTATGTGTGTGTGTGTGTGTGTGTGTGTGTGTGTGTGTGTGTCTGCCTGGCACACAGGCTTTAGTGTGTGTGCACTTGCGATGTGTGTTTGAGTCTGTATATGCGAATGTGTATATTTATGGCTGTATGGAGTGTTGTGTGGTATGTGTTTTACATTCCCAGCATATGTGTTTACTGGGCATCTATGTGTGTCTTTTGGTGTGGATGCAGCTCTAGGTGGGCTTATGTGGACTGTGCACATCATGTGCCTGAGTGGATGTGTGTAACTGTTGGGATGTAAGGTCCGACATGCATCGGAATGATGTGGGGTGTGCTGAGGGTCTTGGATACAGGGGCTTCTTCTCGTCTCTGGTCACCTGGTGACCTTCTTTCCTCAGCTGAGGACTGTGGTGAGGCCATGGGCATGTGCAGGCCAGCTTCTGCCCCCTCAACAGACCTGTGGCTGCTCAGGTCTATGGCCACAGTGACCACCAGGGGCTAGATTGGGTGGGTGAGCCTGGGGCCAGGGATCATGTGACACCCCTCGCTGCCTGGCCTCCTCCCCTCCCCACAGCAGGAGCAGCAGCAGGAAAGGTTGGCGGAGGGGGGCTATTTTGGGAGCATCTCCTTAGCAACAGCTGCCACGGCCGTCTGTGGCGGTTTTTCTATAGGTGCTAAAATATTCCACCCTGGTGACTACTGAGTGCTGGCAGTGGGTGAAGACAGGGACTGAGGGTGGGAGAGACCCCTACACTCCTTCATCCCAAGGCCCAGCATGCTGGGATGGGCACTAGCCCTTGGACCATCAACATCCCTTTCCCGGCTCTGGACCCTCACCCTTGGAGATGCTGGGAATGTGGGACTCTGAGGCAAGCCAGCTGGGTCCTGATCTGATTTTTCATCTAAGCAGCTGAGTGGCTTCAGTTTGCCTCATCTGTGGAATGGGCTGTTTGGACTTTCAGGAAATTTCTAGGCTCCAAACCTCTGGACTCTGAGATGCTGGTATTTCCACGTGCACTCCCCACCTGGCTGTCCCCCAACTGGTTCTCCTGCCCTTTAACCTTCCCAGACCTCTGAATAGGCTCCTAAGGCCACTGTGGGGTCCAGAAGGCCCTAACAGGCTCACAGAGTGGGCAAGTTAGTGAGCTCTCTGCTGGCCTGGAATGACCCTTCTCTAGAATCAAGGAGTGATTCCTGGTTCCATGGTTCCCATTTTGTCTTCTGTGTTTGCCTTTTCTGACTGACTCAAAGCAGGGTACTTCCCCTCTGTGCCCTAGGCCATCTCTGCACCTGTGAAGCTGGGGGACCCAAAGCCTCTTTGTGCCTCCGTCCATCTCTGCACCTGTGAATTAAGGAGAGCCAAAGCCTTATAGAGTTGTGAGGATCAAATGGAAGATTGGACTGAGCAGGGGGCTGTGATAGCCAGGACTGGCAGACAAAGGACTTGCTGTCATTCCCTATCAAACTTCAGCATAACACTTTCTTTTGAAACAGGGTCTCCCTATAGCCTCCAGCTGGTTTGAAACTCATGTAAACCAGGCTGGCCTCAATCTCAGAGAGCTCTGCCTGCCTCTGCCTGGGATTAAAGGTGTGCGCCACTATGCCCGGCATAACACTTATTCTTTTAGGCTGTTGTCTCAGGCCATAGAGGCTGGGCACTCATAATAATCCGAGGCCTCAGTCTCCCCACTGGCAGTGTCTGCAGTGTAGGATTCTTGTGGGGATTGAGATGGAATTTATGAGGGCTCAGACCAGTGCTGGGCTGATAGGATGAGTCTGCTGAGTTTTGTTCTCTCCACCCCATCCAGGCCAGCTTCTCTGTTGGGTGGAGACAAAGTTCGCCTGGCCTTTGGCATCTCAGAACAGACTGTCTCATTACATTACAGATGAGGCCTCTGAGGCGGGTCCAGAGAAGATAAGCAATTTACTCAGAATCACACAGGTTCAGACACCCAAGCCATTCTTTCTTTCCCTAAGACCCCACCCCGACTCCCCACACAGAAAGCAGGAAAAAAGCTCCCAGTAGTTTTCAATCCTCAGAACAACTGCTCAAAGAGAGGGAGAGGATCTTAAATTTTATCCTTCTCACTTTACATAGGGGGATACCAAGGCCCATAGTTGGGAGGCTAGCTCTCTGGGTCACATGGGTATCTGATGGTAGAGGAAGTACTTTCTTTCCTGGCATCCCTGGACTTCTTTTGACTTGGAGCTGTTCTGCTTCTTACCTCCTCCCAACCCAGCCTCCCTCCAGGGACTCAGCAGCCACCCCCTACAGTGCAACCTAAGTCCAGCCAGGTGCCCTTTCTCAAACTTGGTCCCAGTGACCTGATGTGGTTACTGAGCCTGCAAGAGCAGATGTGTTAGATCTAGCCATCCCCGACTCTGTATCCCTGCTTTTTCTTTCTGATCTCTCCTTCCTCTGAGTCGCCCACTTCCAGGGCAGCCCCCAGGGAAAGAGACTGCAGGTCATTTGCCCAGCCTGCATCCTGTCATGTTCAGTCCATGCAGAGGCATCCATCAGTTGCTAAGTGAACACTCAGGTTTCTGGGGGCCCTGGATCCATGTATACACACTGAAGATTCATGCCAGGGAACGTCAGTCCTGGCTGTCTGCCCGAGGGCACAGCAGGGTAAGGAAGGGAGACAGGCAGAGAACAGATGCTGTGCATGGTGGAGGTCCACAGTGCTGAGACAGCACCAGAGGAACAGCCATGAGCCCCTACTGCAGGCACTTACCTGCTTTCATAGGCCCTGTGCATTTTGTGGACAAGTTAAATAGAATCTTACTCAAGGTCATACTGTTTCTAAGTGCTTTTGAGACCAGGTTGGTCTGACTTCCAGACCCATGAGCAAGGGCCATCCCTGTGCCTAGCCCAGAGGCTTGTAATAGCTGGGTCCCTGGTGTTGCTGATTGAGTGAATCAGAAATGAATGACTTCTGCCTTGGGAGGTGGCAATGAAGCAGGTCTTAGAGAACAACAGAAAGGTTCTTGAAGGCAAAGAAGATCAAGTGCATTTCAGGCAGGAGGAACAGAGCATGCAGAGAGAGGTATGAAGGCACCTGGTGTGTTCTAGAACCTGTGGAAATTGGAGGACATGTGTGGCTATGTGGTGTGTGGGATAAGGCGGGGGCCTGACAGCGTATCATACTGAGGCATTGGAACTGGGACCTTTGAGGTAGGGAGAGCCCACAGAAAAGGAGATGGTTGTAGTAGCTTGTGTATTGTTAGGCTCATCCTGGAGGTCTGCTTGGCAGAGAGCCAGAAGGGATTGGAGGCTCAGCCAGTTCTCCACAAGCTTGGCTTGCTGTGGAGCCCCAATTCAGATCCTCTCCCTCTCTGATCATGGCCAGACTCCAGCAAGTTCTAGCTGTCTATCTGCAGATGTTCTAGACTACTTTCTCTCCTGTCTCCTTAGAAGGTTGGAGTAAGGTGGTAAAATGGCCACAGAAGTGGCTGGCTCCCTGGGGACTGTGAAGTGCTACCAGAGTATGGGACCCAGACCCAGGCCTGTTGGCAGTGAATGGGAGGAAAGGTCCTGATGCTCTCTTATCCAGACAGCTTAATACCAGCTGGAGAGATGGTTCAGTGGTTAAAGAGTGCTTACTGCTCCTGCAGAGGACCCAGCTCCCACATGACATCTCATAACCATATCTAACTCCAGTTCCAGGGAATCTGACGGCCTCTTCTGGCCTCCACCGGCTTCTGCATGCACATGATGCACATAAGCTCTGGCAGGAAAACACACAGACACATTAATAAAAAAGAAAAATGAAAAGAAAAAGGACAGTTTAATAGGACAAAGAAGAGACTAGGGACTAGGGTTTGCTTTGACTTGGACACCACTGGGTGACCTTGGGCAAACTTCTGGGCCTCCATGGTCCTCAGTTTCTCTCTGTAAACTGGAGCCATACTGATTAGGTGATTGTTAGGGTCCCACCAAAAGGACTACCTGGGTCTCCCAAAGCGGGGAGGCGGGGGGGGGGGGGGACGACTCGGACGGACGGGACCACGACTTAGAACTCATGGTTGCTGGAGCTTCCAGAGAGAGCGCAGACTTCCAAGGAGAGGGGCCAGGCGCCCGGGGACCGCCCCCCCCCAACTTGACCGGCTCCCACCTACCTTCTCCTAGGCTCAGAGAAACCCTCCCCACCTGCCTCCGGGGACCTGGCAAACCCGGGAGTGGATGTCGGAACGGGTTCTGGGAGGAGCGCTGCGGGGTGAGGAGGAAAACCCGGGCAGGATCCAGGAGCGAGCGGGTCGGCGCAGTCCCTGGCCCCGGCCCCGGCCCCCGGCCCGCGACTCCCGCCGGCTGGAGCTAGTGACACGCGACGTGGGTCGGGTGCAGGGGACAGGGCCGGGCACTGGGGCGGGCTGGGCTGGGCGCCGGGGGCGCAGCGGCCTCCGCTGCGGGGCGCGGGTCACGTGTGAGGAGGGGCGAAAGTCTCGCAAAGCGGGGCGGCGTGCGGCGAGTTGGGAGTTCTCGGCGCGCCGCGGGCGGCGGGAGCTCGGGCTCCCGGGCGAGCCGGGGAGGCGGCTGGGGCCTGGGTCCCAGACGGAGGGGGCGGCCGCGGGAGTGGGAGGGACGGCGACAGGGGAGGACAGAACCCGCCAGGGAGACAGCGGGACGAGACAGTGTCGGGGGCCGGGGTGCCACAGACCCTCGCGGGACCTGGACGCAGCGGCGGGGACCGGGCAGCCGGAGCCAGGTGGCCGCG